AACAAAAACACAATAAAAGTTATAATATATTATTATAATGTACAGTCAAACAGGAACAAATTTACTCTTTGGAGTATAAGAACCATCTATAATCTTTATTCATTCTGCAAGGTATTAAAATATGTTAATGAATGCCTGTACTATCGATAGTAATTATCATGTGAAATTGCCCTTTTAAGTGAGGCAACTGAAAAGTCAGGGACTGAGTAAGAGTCTGACCAGACAATGCTTCCTTCTGGCTAGTTCTGCACTGCAATGCTGAAACAGGAGGAGGGAGAGAAAAGAAAAACCTTAAGCAGGAGGTCTGCCATTTTAACTTTGTTAGTACAGCAAGTCTGCCGGTTCCTTGAAATTTGGGTTTGCGCAGAACAGCTCAGTTCCCATAGAGTTTGTGGACTGAGTTTGCCTGCCTGGATAAGTGATAGGCTTCTGGACGGGTGATATAGTTTGGGAATGCTCCCGAATCTAGTATCTACTATCACTGGTGACATGGAACTAGCTACAGTTATCCAAGCTCTAGTAAACTCTTTGTTGGATTACTGCAATGTGTTATGCATGCCTTGGAACATGGTCTGGAAACGTCAGCTAGTCCAAATAGAGCAGTAAGACTGTTAATAGGACTGGAGCAATGAGATCATATTAAGCCAGTATCTGACTCCCTTCACTGTCTCAGCCTGATTGAAGTGCTGATATTAACATTCAAAGCCCTAAGCAGCTTGGGGCCAGGTTAACCTAAAGATCATCTTCTCCCATATGCATGCCTGGACCTTAAGTTCACTCTCAGTGGTCCTTCTGAGGGAGTCCCTGCAGAGGGAAGTCGGGTGAGTGGCTATTAGGAACAGCCTTTTCTGTTGTGGCACCTGACTCTGGATGAACTTCCCAGGGAGACCCTGCCCAGCACCTGCATTATACTCTTTCCAGTGCCAGGTGAAGACCTTCTTTTCCCAGGAATTTTAGTTTCAGACTATTAAAATTCTTCTACTAAGAATTCTACTAAGGTTTTACTCTAGTTTTCACTTTTTAAAAATACTTTAACCATTTACATTTTTATACTGTATTTTATTCTTTAAATTGTTGTGAACTGACCAAGAGCTTCCACTATTGGGCAATTTAAAAATACAACATATGCATAAATAAGTAAATATATATCCAATGTGCTAATTCTTCTTTCTCTACCAGAAAGCAATTTACAGTGCAAACTATATTACAGTATCTAGCAGGTTGGGCTAGAAGTGACCTTCAGATGCTGAAGGACTACAACTATCATCAGCCCCAACTAGCACAGACCACTGTGAGGAATGATGGGAGCTGCTGTTCAACATTTGGAGGTCCATAAGTTGCCTACAGAACTTTGTAAATAAGCCATAAAGGTGCAGTCCTATGCATGTTTAGACAGAGCTGCAGAGTCTGCCAACACAGGCATAGGATTGTGCCTAGAAAAACTAGGCCTCAAAACTTTTTCCTAACTTATTAAGAGCTGGCAAAGCAGAGTAATAAGCTCCACCACCCCTGCAGTAGCATTCTGCACTGCTACAGCAACATTAGCCTCCTTTCAATTCTTTTTGGCCTAGGCTACCAGCATGTTTAAATATCTGTCCTCTCAGGAACGCAAGGTGGTTCTCTTCAATAAATTTTATCCTAACAATCCTGAGAGGCAGGCTAAAGTAAGAGACAGCGCACCTTCCGAAAACCAGCCATACATTTTTTATGATTGAGGAGAGTTCTGAAGCTAGGTCTCCCAACTGTAGTTTGACATACTTATGCGTTACTCTGTACATTGGCCTAGCCTTCACATAATGCAAACTCAATAGTATGCGCTGCTGGACAAAAAAAGAAAATCCATGGTTTGTGGCTAGTTTGGAAACCCTGGATAACCTAAACTATAGGTTATTGTTACACGTGACACAGGCATGTCACCAGGTTATTTGTTATGTTTTATTTATTTATTAAAAGCTTTTGTATGCCGTCCTATTATACAAGATCTCAGGATGGCTTACAATTTTTAAAAGGACAATTAAACAACAATATCAATAATAAAACAGAACAAAACAATAAACCAAACAGAGCGACTAAACTATTAGAGTTTAAAATACTGTTTAAATAAAAAGGTTTTACATAGAAGGAGGGAATGAAGGAGGAAGGAAAGAACCTCAGGACTGAGAAAAAAATTGTGGGTTGTTCTGCTGTCTTTTGGACAAATGTGGGTAGGGCAACAAACCATCAGTTAAATAAATCATGTGTTAGCATTATATGTGTTATCTTATACAACCATTGTGGCTGGATGAAAGCACTGAAAACCATAGCTTATGTCAAGGGAGCAGAAACATTGATCTCCCTGAAGGCTAATCCAGCCCTCCTGGGATTCAATTGCCATGTCCTCCTTCCCCATCTCTGAAATTGAATATTTTGGGGCTGAAAAAGATTCTACACTTCACTTATGTGATGTTAGATGTGCCTAGAATTCACCAACTGACACAAAGGCATGGAACATAGCATGCTTTTATGACTCTGCACCTAAAACTGTACCTTTAACACTTATGGTTCCTCTTGCAAAAAACTATGGAATGAAACCATGTTGGGCTTCATTTATTAAAGACTTCAGACTTCTTTCATTTATTCTATAAAGACATTAGGCAGAATAGTTATACTATTTGCTAAACTGATTAGTATTACTAGATTAACTAGTTAGTATTTTTTCTGTTTTGAAGGATCTACATATAAATGATGAACAACAAAAATGCTTTGCTCCCCTGAGTTTCAGCATTCTTTGACTTTCAGTTTCTTTACTGTTTCTTCAGTTTCTTTCAGTTTCTTTTCAAGACTTATGCTTCAAAATACCATACTGGGTTGTCTGCTGGCTTTGCAAGATTATGTAATGTTGGATCTACCCAAACTGGTTAATTAAAAAGTCTTTTGGAACTACCAGTTCAGCAGAATGAGATGTTACTATATCATATCACAATTTAGAGCAGGCAGCAAAGTTTTTTTGGAATGCTGTTGTGGAATAATTCTGCTGTGATCAAATTACAGTGGGCTGGATTTTGCTGAAGCAATGCATCTCGTTCTCTGTACATTACAGATTATGACTATGTATGGATGCAGGAACAACATAACTAACTGAACAAGCAAAGTTAAGCATAAGTTCATGCAACAGAATACACTGAAAAGTACGCAAATACTGTCAAAAGTAATCAGTAAAATCCTATAAATATGGACTCAGAAGGTAGCCCCATTGAGTTCAATGCTACTTAGCCTCAGGTAAATGTGTACAAAAGTTGAAACCATTGTCCTTTTAGATAAGAAATAGACTAGTCAGCAAGCAAGCAGAATGAAATACCATTATAAAGAGTCAGTTATCCAGTGACTCCTTCCCATCCAGCTCGCATTCTGACTGATGGCACAATATAAATTTAGCAGTCCTATAGGATTGTACTCTTAGATAATTTTAACAACCTATACCTAAAGAATGGCATTCTCATTTTTCCTAGATATTGAAGAACCCAAAAGAAAATAATTCAAGAAAGTCACAATGTACTAGCTAATGCAAAGTTATTTTAAAATAACATGCATTCACATTTCTTCTAAGTTACTGCAATCAGGATTTGATGCTCTTGTGAACATAAGAGTTTACTACTTACTCTGCTTACTATTACACATGTGCTGATGTTACCATCAGTTATATCACATGGTAAGATTTATCATAAAGAGATTCATAATGCAAAATACAAATTCCTAAGGTATGAAGTCTTTATACTAGTTTTATGCTTTAGGAATTAATTGCAGCAAATGGCAATGCAAACATCAGATCTGGTATAGTAACTATTTGCTGATGCCCTTCAAACTGTGAGAGCAATTTCATAGCCTCAGCATGTGAAGTAGTGGCCTTGAGTGGCATATACTACTAGTCAACGCTCCACGGTGATGTCCAATGATATGCAATGAGGGTGTGCCCACACTGGAACTCTCACCCCATTGAAATTTATTTTCTCCACAATGTGTGGTTTCTCCTCCAACAAGTGCAGGCTCGAGTTGTTTAAACCCCACCCAGCCCCAGTTCACACAATTGCACCATCTCCTTTAACAGCATGCTGAATAACAAGGCCAATGTGTTGATTATGTTTTTATCCTGTCCTTGTCTAAAGTCTCAGGGCAACATGATTCCAGCCCACCGTCATGTACCTCCAACCACTACCTTGTATTAGTTACTCTGAGAAGTAGCAATTGGTCTAATGTCACTCAGATAATTTCTTGGCTAAGAAAGTATTTGACTGCAAGTCTTCCCAGCCCAATTACAACACCCTACCCATTGTGCCACACTGGCTGATATTGTATTCTGATATAGTTCTATATCAGAATCATGAATTAGATTATATTTCAATACTGCTTGCAGTAGTTTTCAAGATCACTTGAAAACTGCTGAGAGCCTCAATGGACCACTTAAACATAATACATATAAAATTACATTTAGAAGAAACTATTTGATGCCAGTACCATTGCCAACAACAGTGCCATATTATGAAAATCATGAGTCCTAAGATGGGGCATGGAGAAGAGCTCCTTCAACTTGTAAAAACTAGGGGGAAATTAGCAAATGATTCAGTGTTATATTATGAAAATCACAGGCCTTAGGCCAGGCCCCTGTTTGATCATCTTACCCTGGTCAAAATGGCATCAATCTTTATTGTTAGAGAAACAAAGTGAACTACAGGGCCAGGTACCAATATTCTCAATTGCTCCACTCCACTCTTTCTGTGAACCACCTGAATGAGGCTCATGAATTACTGGCGCTCCATGAACAATACGCTTAGAACAGAACTTAGCAAAGTCCTCACAGTAAATGGATACCCAGATGCAATGGTAGAGGCTTTTGTCCTGGTCCATTGTGGGAAACTATGTTCAACTACAAGTTCTGATCAATTAAGCAAGGTGCTAAGGAATATATATTTAGCCCAAAAATATAGTGTTAACCAGCTTAGAGGAAGCAAAATAAGCAATACTACCTGCTCATGCAATAAACATGCTCTAAGGTTTTGTATTTCTTTATGTGGCCTGCAATTGAGAAATATGACATTCATGTAGTTAAACATACCAATAGTACATCCCTAGCAAGATGCTTTGGCAGCCTTTCCCAATGTGGAGTCCACTTGGGGCTTGGGGCTCACCAGCTTGAGGATCACTAGCTTGGGGATGCTGGTAGCTGTAGCCTAACATCTGGAGAGCACCACGTTGGGGAAGGTTATGTTAGTCAATATCAGCACACGAAGTATTCATATCTTTAGAGCCACCACCATGATTTTTTCAGGCATTGTTCCCTGTATCTGACTTGTGAACATGGCGCTTCATTTGTGCACCTGCCTTCGAGAGTCGTGTCTTGCAGGGTGGGCACACTTCGGCCAGCAGCCTGGCCACCGATCCACTAGTTTCAAGCAATCTTTCAGCAGTCCCTTCCGTGTTTAAACTTCAAATCCTCAGTCAAGCACGACTAAGATCCGGATGGGAGGGAGGAGGGCGCAAAGATTATAGTTTCCCGGGGACTGACACTGGCTTCACCTTGCAGGAAACCCCTTTCGGTACAAACCGGCCACCATGCTCGACTGCCGGCTCGCTCGTCGTCCGTCCCTCCCTCTCTCCCCCACCTTCCCTCATATACACACCGCACCTGCCCGCCTGCGCCTCGCCTTCCCTAGGTCTGCACAGAAGGCAAGGGCGGCCGGGCGGCCCAACCTCTGCCGCTGGGCGCCCACCTGCTCCCGCTCGGCGCGAGCTAAGAACTCCGTCCCCTCTCCGGGGGTGTCGACGCTCCGTTCCGCGGGGTCTTCCCCTCCTCTCCCCTCCCCTCCCACCTACCCAGGCTGGAGATGAAGCAACACGCTCCCCGCTGCTGTCGCCGCCGCCGCTCCGCCAGGGGCGCGCGCCTCCCGGGTCGACCTTCCAACGCCCAGCGCGACGTTCCATCCGGCCCGCCTGCCAGGAAAGCGAGCGCGCGGCGCCCCGGAGCTCCTGGCCCCAAGCGTAGGCTAGGGCTTGGCTCTGCCCCTTCGCTGCCCCCTCACGCGCGCTCAGGAGGGAGGGAGAAACGAGGAAGCGAGCGACGCGAAGGGCGGCCCCGCCTCCGCCCCCGCTCAGAACCGGAACGCCTCCCTCCCCCTGAGCGGGCGAGCCGCCTCGAAGTCGGGAGGCGCGCCCGTCCTTCCTGCGGCAGCCGCCGTTTTGCTCCCCGGGCTGCTTCGAGCGGCTTTGCGGCGCTTGGATTGCTTCGGGGACCGCATCGGGGAGGAAAAGCCTTGGAGCTGGCCCGAGCCACCACGCCACACCGTCTCCCACACGGCGCAATAAGTGGTAAAGGCTCCCGACCCTGAATGCGGACCCTGAACGCCCAGGTCCTAAACAGGTTAAGGCTGCGATCCCATGCTCACTTTCCTGGCCAAAGCCCCATTAAATATTATGGGGCTTGTGAGAAAACAAGCGTAAGGCTCGCGGAATTCTGTCCATTTACCCAGGAGGGAGCCCCATTGAATGCAGTAGACTTTATGCGCGCGTAGACCTGCATATTACTGTTTTTTAATTTAGCAGTAAGTGCCACACAATTCAGCTAAAATTCCTACCAAGAAAGTGGGACTAAGATGGCAGAAGCAATGTATGAAGGGCTGGGGATCAAAGATCATCTTAATATTTATTCGTTATTCTGAGTCCAGAAGGTCTCTTTACATTCATCTTTAACCATGTTTCTACTACACTAGTCATTAAAATAATATGAACTTGCAAGATTACAAATACTCCCCTCTAAAATCGAGCAATAAAAGCAAACTCAAAAGCTCCAAGTAAATGTATAATGGTAGAAAACTGAGTCACGCCATAGCTTGAAGACCATGAAATTTGGGACACAGACCAAAGAGATTCTAAGGCTGTGTACCTTTTGAAAACAGATTTGCTGGTGTGCTTCAAGCCTGCAGTATCACATTTAGTCTGACCAACCTATAGCTTAGCACTTGAAAGATTAAAGAGGAGCTAGACAGCAGTCTGATGGATGGTTATATGTTGGCATTGTCTTTCACATTCCCCCCTTGGGGAAATGAAGTGGGCAGACCCTTCTTTGATGTGCCAGTAGGCATGGTTTCACTAAACAGCTTGGGTGTAATGTGCCCAACCCTGACAGCTGGGTAACATTGCTTAAGGCTTCACTGCAGAAAACTAAGGACTATTTCAATCCTCATGGAGGCTTTCTCTTTCCATATGATGGAATCCAAAGCAGGACTTCTGTCAGAAGCTCTTAAGCAGCAGAAAGTCGGATGCTTCAGTGTTTTAAGGCTTTAAGGGTACTCTAAATTGGGCCTGGAAGCAAAGGGCAACCAGTGCAACTGTTTAAACAGAGGCAAATATTGCTCCACCCCTATTAATAGGTGGACTGTTACATTTTGCACTAGCTGAAGTTTCTAGAGCATCTTCAAAAGCAACCCCAAATATATTGAGCACATTACAATACTCTAATCTGGAATTTACCAATGCAAGCTTTGCAGCTGGTGTATCAGCCAAAGCATGCTGAGTTACAACCACCTTGAGAATCCAGGGGCATTGCTGGATCCAGCAGCCCGTTAACCCATCAACCTGTTCCTTACAGAGAAGTGTGACCCTATCCAGAACACGAATATCTCCAATCAAGGGGTCTACTGAGTCCCTTGCGATCAGCAACTCTCTCTTACCTGCCACTGAGATTTAGTTGTTCACCCTCATCCAGCACTCCCATTAACTGTAAACATGTAAACAAGGAATAGAGCTTGGTGTCCTCAGCATACTGAAGACACCCAGAGTGATGTTGAATCCTATACCCAACTGACAGCATCCCCCAGCAAGTTCATAAAACTTCTGGAATGTTAACCTCAGAAGTTGTTTCAAAACATATATTCCATTACAAGTAGATTGGTAAGTGGATGTGTGGTGTTTGGTTGTAATCCACAGTTCATGCACAAAAGCCTCCTTTGGGCTATGACTTAATGACATACTTGGATGAAATAGTTCTGCGTCAACATTTTTAAAAAAATGTTATCGGGAATTAACAATAGATGTATATTTTCAACACACTCATTCACAATGTGGTGGTGTGTTATAGAGGGTAAGTAAACAAGGACACAAAGGACTATCATGACCAAAGTACACATTTCTGTATCTGGTCAATGACACATACCATTTCATTAATTCATTTGTGATACTTTTATACAGCTTAAGATTGTAAAATCCCTAAGCAGTTCAATTATGCGTATGTAAAGAGATTTCTTTAACCTTAAATTTTTTTATTTGGGACAGAGCACACTGAATAAAAATAAAAATGTTTATTACGCAATCTCCTCTGTTCACTTTCACCCATAAGGGATCTTGCACTCCAGCGCACACTTACCGTGCAGCAAGCCCTGTGGAGTTCAGGCAGGTTTACTTCCGAGTAAACATGCACAAGTTCGGACTGCTCGCTTGCAATCCTATGCATTTACTCGGGAGCAGGCATGCGTGAGTAACCGGATCTACTTCAGTCTAAACCCACCAGTAGAATTGGGCAGCCAACACTACCAGCAGAACTTCCCTCTTCTAGAAGAGAACTGCACCAGAGGAAGGAAATTCCCCAGCTAGATCTTTTCCCAGCCCTGAGCCTCCCTTTCCATCCGTGACGTACGAGTCCAGAATGAATCACCAAGCAGAAAGGCAAGGCCACGCCTCGCCGAAGCGCTTGCCAAGGGGGGGGAGGAACCCAGCACGAGTGACGGAATTAGAAGGCGCCGCGAGGTGTGCAGAATTGAGCGGACTGGATTGGGTGCCATTGATGACGTCAGGAGAGGCGCGCAGAGTGCGTCTGCGCGGGAGGCTGAGAGTTATGGCGTCTGTGGTGCTCAGCGAAGCGGAGAAAGTGTACATTGTGCACGGCGTCCAGGTAACGGGCGCGTCCGAGGGCGGGGAAGGCTCTTGCAGGTGATATAAGGAGCTGATTCTCAGGACTTCAGGGATGGTAACTCTGGATGCAGCTTTTTAATCTTGTTGAGACCGTATCCCAGTGGATCGGCCTTCCCCAATCTGGTACCCACCAGATGTTTTCCTTCACAACTCCCAGCTTGCTGGGGCCACTGAAAGTTGAAGTCCAAAAGTTCCATTGAAATCCAGAAGGTACCAGATTGAAGAAAGCTGCAGGAGAGGGGGGCCTCTGATCTTGTGCAGAGCTCACTTCTGCTATTGAGAACTGATGCGCACATACACGCTTATAAGTTTATGACCATATAGTGTCACATGATGTGATTCGCATATGTGAATGAGCCCTCACAGCTTTAATGCAGCATGCACAGAGCATAAATATTGTTTGGTGTCACTTCAGCTATTGCACTTCCCACAGAGTCCTTTCACATCTTGAACAGCAGTGCATGCAACCAGCTCCAATCAGGCTCTTCACATCTCTTGGAAGGCAAGGTTTCCAAGAAGGCTGATGCATTAATACCTACACTTTTACCAGGATTATTCACAGTCATACACTGGACTTTGCTGCTGTTGTTTGCTGCTGTGCTTTTCCCAGCTGGAGTTGTCAGCAGCTCCTCTGATTCTGTGTGGTGGGCACAAGTTCCATAGGTGAAGCTGTCTCCATTCCTATATGTTGGTGAAGATTAAAAAACAAACAAACCAGCTGAATTTCTGCACTGGTGTGCAATGATAAATAAGCTCCAATAGAGAAAGGAGTGGGTGAATGTAGCCTGCTCAACTTGTTGATAAACTTCACAATGTTATCAACAATGTTTTTTACTATCAATACATATATTGATAGTAAAGAGTGGTACAATTTGGGTGGAATAATGGCATAATTGATAGCTTAATCCACTGTTTATCTAATTTTCTTTAGAACATTACTATGTCTGAATTAGTCAAAGTGAAACATAGGAATTATGCATTTTTTAAAACAGCTGGATTATTGATATGCTTAGAGGCCTGGATTAAGGCTTGGTTCAAATTATCATCTTCTAAATCATGGGTCCTCAAACTAAGACCCACCGGCCAGATCTGGCCTGCCATGCCCATTTAACCGCCCTGCCCCAGAGGTTTTGCATTTGTGCAGGCATGCGTGGGCACGTGGTTTGCTTGTGAGGAGGTTGTTTTGGACTCATTTGGAGAAAATGATCTTCTTGAGAGCAAGCCAGCACCTTGCCCCGTGCGCCCCACCCCCTCACCAGCTCCCTCTCCCCCTGCCGGCACCGCCGTGGCAGCCCATGCCCACTGCTGGCACCTGTCAACTGGCCCCCTGTTGAAAAAGATTGAGGACACCTGTTCTAAATAATTGTTTAAGGAACCAGCAATGAGCCACAGTGTCCCTTACACCCACACATTTCATGTCTCCTCCTCCCTTCATGAGGAAGAGGAGAGCACTTCAGAACAAACTAGGGTTCCACATTGCATAAGGACTTCAGGAACTGTGGCTTATTCTAATCAAACTTAGTTAAAACAAACAGGAAGAAGCCATGTTTTGCTGTCCTGGTGTCTTAACTATTTGTTAGTTCCTCACATTAATATGTGATATAGAATTGTGGCTTATTCTGTAGTGAAAGAAGATGCTCTCTTGCCACAAGAGAGAGGAAGGAGAGCATGGGAACCTGAGACTCAGTACAGCTTGTTCTTGATCATCCCAAATCATGCTTGAAACTTTTGTCTGAACTAGGCCTAAGTCATTCATGACTGGACAGAATGCAAAGGTAGATGTTTTTCTTTGGTATTTGCTTCGACTAATCCACACTCTCATTAATAATAAGTAATTATCTCCTTCTCTCAGTGAGATTTATCTTTGTAGTTAAATAGTACTATTTTGTAACAACATTGTGATTGTTATTTTAGGAGGATCTTCGGGTTGATGGCCGTGGCTGTGAAGACTATAGATGTACTGAAGTGGAAACAGATGTGGTATCTAATACAAGTGGATCTGCAAGAGTAAAACTTGTAAGTAAAGGGACAGTATGCATTCCTAGTTATGGTATTTAGTTCCCTGTGAGCACCAAATACTTTTCTTTAGACTGCTAAAACATGGCTACAGTCTGTCTAGGAATCCTGTCCTAATCACTGGCTGAACTACTTTGATCTCATGAACAACAAAAATCCAATGGCATTTTAAAAGAATAACACATGTATTGCTGCATAAGCTTTTTGTGGTCCAGCTGCATGAAGTGCTGTCTATAGTTGGCAGGTGTGTGTGTGTGTTTATGTTATATACATCAGTACAACTGCAAAGATACTACAAAATGGAGTCTGTGCAGGAGAAAGGGGTGTCACATCACTATGGATGGCACAAGTGGAACTTAACTGCTGTCAGGAGTGTAAAGGATCCTGTCATAGTGGCCCATGGCTCCCCCAAGTGGTGCTGAATTGGCAAAGCAAGACTAATTAAACACCTGACTATTTAAGCAATAGAATGATGTCAAGTTATGTAAGTGAAGTGAAAGATTGGCCTAAATGAGAAAAAGACACTGGCTTACAGGCTGTTTCCTGTTAGAAAAATGGGTAGCTTGGGGGCTAAGAAATGGGAAGTTGAGTGAGGAGGGGGTTCACAGTGTAATAAAATGAAGTTAGCTGAAAGCAGCTGAAGGGAAATGGTATAGCCATTGTTATGGGAATCACATACAGAAGGAGCAGGAATGGAGGACTAAAGAAACAAGCTATGAGAAAAACAGACACTTCTGGGGTGGGGGGAAGGGCCCACAGAAACATTTTACTCAGAACATATACATAGGAGGGTCTGCTTTTTGACAAAAAGCTGCAAAAGGAGAGGACATAGGCCAGGAGGGTGATGGTTGGGAAACTGAGATAAGGCCGAGGTTGGTAGGGCAGCTTGCATATAGGCAAGCCAGAGCTGATGTGGCAGCTGATGCCAAATGTCCGTGGCAAGCCAGAGCCTTGAAAGAGGCAGATTTAGCATGTTTTCAAGCTAAACATGTCATTTTTCTGGCTCTGAAGTGGCTTGCCACTGAATTTGGATGATAGGCTGATGTTTTTATTTTATTTCTTTATTTAGGCTTCTGGACCACTCAAATTGGTGGAAGGGTGCAGCCATTCCAGGGGGCCAAGGAGTGGAAATGGCCCCTAAAGTTGCCCACCTTGGCCTAGATGTTAAAGAAGGGTGGGGGAGTGAGAGCGCCTTCCAGCAAGCCATCTGAAAACCAAGGACAGCATAGGCAGCTGGCTCAAAAGCAGGAACCTGAAGAGATTATTTAACAGAGAGCAGAGGGGTTTGAGGATAAGAGGTAAAGGGGAGGGGGGAGTGAGTAAGAAAAATTGACTGGGGAAAATCATGCAAGGAAGGAGTTGGACAGCCAAGACTGTAGCAAAGGAGGGTGCCTGTAAAGCACTCTATGTATAAAATAAATGGAGTTTATTGTCCTTAGTTTATTAAAGTGCAATATTTTGTTTAAAATACTCTATATGAAGTCTAGAGATGAGTTGAAATCATTTACAATTATAGATACTCAGAAGCTTGGTTTGTTGCATTGCTAAGCTTATGTTGACAACATTTGTATCCCAGGCTATTGCACTGTAAATTTGCACTGCTTACCTAAAGAAAGTTCTATATGTATTGGGGTATTAGTTCATTGGCTGATTTGAGCTGGTTAAGGAGAAGTGGATAATATTGACCAATAGTAGAGAGTATATGTTGGTAAGATAAAGGGATATATGTTGGCAGATATATTTCATATATCTAGCAGAAATATATTTAACAGAATTCTGTATTTTAACAGGGGCACACAGACATCCTGGTTGGAGTCAAAGCGGAAATGGGAGTACCAAAGCTGGATAAACCAAATGAAGGCTACTTGGAATTCTTTGTTGACTGGTTAGTGCAAACTGCTTACAGTAGGACCTTTTATATAACCGTATATGAACAATGTTAAAAGTTTTTTATGAAAGAATGTACATGCTATTGTTTATTTTTAAAGTTTCCATGCCAACTAGACAAAACAGTTTTTCCATTAGTAGGAGGAAATTCATTTATATTCAACCTTTCATTTCTTCCAAGAAATGCAGGGTGGCATGCATATCACATGCACACACATTTTAAGCTGAATGTTATTGTAAATATTCATTTTGAAAATGAGTGCTTATTTGGTTTAGGATTTCAAAATCTGAAGCAATGGATCATCAAAGATATTTAGCAATCTAATTTGGGAGCTGCTTATTTTGATCTGTAACATCACCTAAACATTATGGGTTGGATTCAGAAAAAGCCCACTTAACAGGGCTCGCACACTCCTCCTGATTGTCCTGCACCTATAAAAAGGTCCTTTTAAACATTGGTGGACTCTGAGGCATGAATAGGCTGTGGCACAGAAGCATGAAGATTCCCCCAAAGCAGGATCTTCTTGATTGCTGCATACATTTGTTACATTTTGTGCCTCTTTTTTGCAACTGATGCAACTGGTTCTGTTCTAGCTGCTTTTCTCTAAAATTTAGAATGTAGATAAAATTAGCGAACAGCAAGATAGAGTCCAAAGAGGACATTTTTAATAAAGACTTTTTCATTAATATCTCATACAAGTCATTGTAATCAGTGCATAGAAAAAATGGTGTTCTATGTACATACAGATGTTTAAACACAGGTCGCTTCTAGATAAGGCTGTTTCCTCACCCTGCCTCATTCACAAGTTATGGGGGTGGCTTAGAGGTCATTGTGCTGTGCCTGTGTTTTGCCTACTGCCTTTTCACATTCGAGTGAAACCAGAGACCCATGAGCACTGTTGGAAAGCTGCACAGAATCACTGCCCATGCCCAACTTGAGGGAAGGCACATGTATGGGCACAGGTGCCTGCCAACACCTATGTACTAGTCAAGTTATTGTACAGAATTTCTCCTAATTCCTTCCCATTTTTGTAGAGAAGATGTAGGGACTGCAATGGTGCACTCTGTACATATAACCTAACACAAGTAGCATTCCATACTTGGAAACAGTGAATTAAAGTGCATCTGTCACATTTTACCAACCTACCACTAGGCGGTGCTGGCTGAACATATTTTAACATCTGGAGGGATTCTCTGTAAATTACTCTTGCAGATTACTTGGATTAAGTATTTTTATTGTTGCTTCGTATTCCTACATTTTCAAGGATTTCCTTGAAATCACCTTGAATTGCAGTCCTGGTCTCTTTATATGCGGGAAACATACAGGAAAGCATGCCTTCCACTAGAATGTTTATTTTGTATTTTAATTAGATTGTTACTGAGATTAGAAATGAAAAAAGCATGATTTGTACACTTGCTCATTTACAACTACCTGTTGAAGAGTACCACCACTGAATTGTTTCATTGGCTCTGTGCAAGAGATCTGGCAACCTGTTCAATAATGAAGAACACAGCAAATGCATGTAAAGAGCTCTAAACTAAATCATTTCCTTAACATAGATGTAATTAAAGTAGGTTTTCTGAATGTACTATTCTGAATTTTTTATAATCAAAACCTTGAGCCAGCTACTCGGAAATTAGCTATGCAACTTTATCATCTATATAATTTAGATGGCTCAAACTTCTGCTCTCTAGTCATTGTCAGAATTCTTGGAATGTTCATGATAATTTCAACTGCTCTTGGTGAGGGTAAAAGCACTAGATACTGACAAGCTGCAGTTTCCCTGGTAGAAGCAAAAGTTTAATGGATGGGAGAACAGATGAGCAAGATAAATAAGGCAGGAGAAAGAGAGTGACTGCTAACTGCTGAGAGGTGAGAGTACAGCTTCCTCTTGCACTGAACCCCTGCGTCCTGCTTCATACTTAAGCAGAGCAGAATTCTGCCCATAGATTTTGTTCCTCTCAACAAAGGACATTCCACTGTTTTTAATCTGAGGAATGAAGGCAAAGATTTCAACTTCCAACTGGTAATGCAGTCATTTCTGTTTGTTTCTTTAGTATAATTTCATATGAAGAGAAGCAATAAGAAAGCTACTCTGAAGTGAGGTAAAATGGAACACCTTTAGACTGCTGCTTCCATTTAGGTCAGGGGTCCTCAAACTTTTTCATCAGGGGGGCCAGTTGAAAGGTGCTGGTGGTACGCGTGGGCTGGAAAGCTGGTGTATGAGGCAGCAGCTTGCTCACTTGGAGATCGTTTTCCATTGGGCATGGTGGGCCAGATCCGGCCCCCGGGCTGTAGTTTGAGGACCCGTGATTTAGGCCGTGCAAAACTGTGCTTAGCACATTTATTATGCCTTAAAGCATTCAAAGCACTTCCCATTTGTTACCTCAGAAATCACACACCTGAATGGCACACTACTATTCTTTGTAAATGTAATGTAATCCTACATAGTGCTAAAGTTCAGAATCCTGAAAAGACAGGCTTAGGGTGTTGTGGGGTGAGGGGTGATAAATCTACCTTTAATTAAGCATAAGTCAGATCTCATCCTTAGTGAATTGGGGTGATTGTGTGGTTTAATGTTAATGTAACTGGGCTATTAACACTAAGTATAATTTAAGTATACTTAAGTATAAGTATAATCCCATCTGCTCATTATTACTTGATGACTAAATTGTGCAGTGCTGGTAAATTAGATACTTGTTAGAACTTTTTCTCTGTATACTTGTTGTCATTGCTCGTGGCATGACCCGAAGGAGTCAGAGCAAGTTGATTGCTGCATGAAGTATCTGGCCTTTCCATATTGTTACGAAGGATACTATCTGTATGTGCCATTTAGCTATGCATCCTGTGAGAAGGTAGATAGCACAGATTGTTAATGGAGTGGCCCTCTTCTAAGGTTGCTATGTTACAAATATTTCTTAGAAGTGCCATGCTAAGGAATCCTCACAAATGCTAATAAGAAGTCAGTCTCTCTGGGATATTGGCCAGTATAAAGAAGGGTCATGAGAAAAGCTTAAGAGTGGCGTAGAGCCAGGAACTAGAGAGATACCAAAATGAAGCTGTGGCTTCAGCCATGGCCTAGGAAGGAACTGCAGGGAAACCCATCACTATAGAAATGCAAACTCTTTAAGGAAGTAGGCTGGAGTGAGTCCTGTGGCTAGGCTCTGACCTATACCAAGCTTCCTAGGAAGGCTTAGTCATGAGTTTCTGCAACAGAGAAGCTCTTCTGCTGTTTGCCTGCCTTAGCTAAGATTTACTGGATTTATTCTTACCCCTGCTTGACAGGAGCTGCATCTAACCGGATGTAATGCCCAGGAATTTTTAAATTGAACAGTGCTAGGATTTAACATTTTGCTGAGCTCTCCTTTTAATCTCGTATTGAAATCTGTCTGCAGTTACTGAATGGTGAGGGAAGGGCCATGTTCCAAAAGCACTATTACTTCATATCCTGTAGCATTTAACCCTGATGCTCAGATTAATTTGTCTGCTAGACAATCAACGTTGGTTAGGAAAGCTCTTGATCTTTCAGTAGCACTGTTTAAGAGAGCTGCATATCTCAGGATGATTCATATTAACTGAAGCAGCTCAGCAAAGAAATGCATGTCACAGCCAGTAATTTTGTCTTCCTGGCAGGGACACTTTTGCTGTTCATATCCCTTACCTTGCATATGCCTATTTTCTGCCTGGGGTAAACTGAGTCTAGTTTGCCTTTGCATGTTCTAAACTGGATGTTTAGCTAACCTTAAGCTGCTGAAATAGCAGCAATAGTCCTGAAATTTTCTGTTGGATTTTGGCAGAATCACACAAACGCGATGTGCGCTTGGCATATGTTTTGAACCATTAATCTAGTTTGTGTTTTAAAAAATTGCTATGTTGCCTCTGCCTTGAAGACAAGTATAGCTAAATGGTCAGAGGGTAAAGGCCAGTAGAAATGCTGTTTTTCATGGCATCCTTCCTTTATGGCTAGGAGTGTTGGGAATTGCAGTCCAACACAATTGGGGGGCACTAGGTGGAAGAAGGCTTTTAATGGGATCAGCCTTCTGATGAAAATATGCAGCCTGTTCTTTACCAGTAGGGAGGCATAGCAATTTTTAAAAACAAAATACTGCTCTTGCAAAGATTGATTAGTACATTATAAAAATGAGAAAAGACAAACAAATTAAGAGGAGGGGGGTTCACACAACTCTTCTGCTGCCCTGGAACAAGTTTGCGCGCCATGACAACCCACCCTGACAATAGGCTTAGCAGATGGATTGTTGTGCAAACAAACCAGGATACATCTGACAGATGATTGGGCTGCCTGTGTGGGTTGTTGCCTTCTTCCTTGTTGGATCTCCCATATGTATCCATGTCGGCAAGCTGTTTACCCAGCCAATGCAGATCTTTAAAACAGCACACAGCTGTAGGGATCTTCTCTGAAGAGGTAATCCTCTCCCTTCTTTCATACATGTAAAGAGAGCTCTTCTGATGTGGGACCTGCTGGGCATGCATCATCTAAAAACCAAATGCATGTGTGTGCTCAGAATTGATTACATTCGCATACACAAAAAATGTGTGAGGCTTGGTTAATGGATTAAAACGTTGCAAAGTTGTATTTTACATGACAGTCGTGATTGTCTCTATAAGGGCAGTGAAGCCTTCCAACCTGGAGTGGTGCTGTGGAATGTGTGGTTGCTCATGCTTGCAGCAGCGGGTTTATGCCCGTGATGCTTTGCTGCCTGCCTGCACAGTCTCTTCCTCCCCTGCAGCAGCTTGTGGCTCTGCTTGTCTAGGATTTCAGATTGAAGCAGGCAGTGTTTCAAATCGTTTACTATACCTTATTCTCTCGCAGTTGGGCAAGCCTTCCATTGAGCCAGATCATCAGGCCCTCTAGCCTAGCATTGTCAACACTGACTGGCAGCAGCTCTCCAGGGTTTCAGGCAGACATTTTTCCAGCCCTACCTGGAGATGCTGAGGATCAAAACTGGGGCCTTCTACGTGTGCTCTAATGTTGAGTCACAGGCCCCTTTCTAGAAAGAGTGGTGGGGAGGGAGCAAGTTCTTGCTTCCACCTGCCATGGACCAGAGAGCTCTGAATGCCAGGCTTGTGACAGTCAAGAACAGAGTGATCTACACTGGCAGCCTGAGGCTGGCAAGTAAGTCCTCCTGCATGGATACCTTTTAACCTGGAAGGCTTCACATTCTTTTGAAAAAAAAACTCTTTCTTGCTCACTCACTCTCTTTGTGGGTTTTATATTGTTGCCCACCCCAAGTGAGACTTGTTGCAGGTAATGAGCCTCCTTCAGTTCAACAATACTCAGTACAGCAGCAGTCAGTTAGGATCATACCAATTATGCTATCATTCGATCTGTTATCCCCTGCTGCATTTGTCTCCTTAATTTGTCATGTCTAACAGGCTATATTGTTAGCCCTCTTCAGTGTTTTCCCTCATTATTAACCTGAAGACAGAGTGACACAAATGGTCCTTACCTTTCAAAACTGCCATGAAAGGGTTGCTTCTAGGAGTCAGGAGGAGACAATATGGATAGATTGAAGCTGAGATAAGCTACATGGCCTTTCCCTACCCCACCCCTAGCTTTTTTTTCAGGTAATCATTTGGCTCCAACTTATTACAATGATTTGTGATGTCTGAATGTAATCATGTCCCCTGGCAGGAAAAGAATGGGATGTAATGTTCTGAATGGTGCCCTGACTTTTATTTTATTTTTCTTCCTTCTAGTTCTGCAAATGCCACTCCAGAATTTGAAGGCCGGGGTGGAGAGGAACTTGGCACTGAAATAGCAAATACCCTCTACAGAATATTTAAAAATGAGAGCTGTGTTGACCTGAAGCTGCTTTGCATTAATCCCAGAGAGCACTGCTGGGTGCTTTATGTTGATGTATTGGTAAGTAAAAATGAATAAAATTGAGCTTATGTTAAACTTTCTAGAATTCAAGCTGTGATATAGTGCTTAAGAGAAAGGACTGGGACTCAGGCAATCTACGTTCTAGTCCTCGCTCACCCATGAAGCCGACTGGGTGACTTTGGGCCAGTCACAGACTCTCAGCCCAACCTGCCTCACAGGGTGGTTGTTGTGGGGAGAAGATGGAGAGCAGGGGGAAGAGAATGATGTACGCCACTTTTTTTGCCCTTGACATTGCCACTGCCTCAGATGCCCTTGAAGCCAGGCACAAAAAATCCATATCCCAAAGGCTGGCTGGTGAGGCAAAAAGTAATGTGTTCAGGAATCTAAGCACAAGGCAGAGGATTCTGGAAGTTGAACCTGGGGCTTGCTGCAGGCAAACCATGTGCGTGCCCATGGACTGACAGCTTCCTCCCTAGAAAGGGTGGAGCAGATTGGGAGCAGGTTCTTCCAGTTGCTTCCCCCACTTGTCCTCCAGGGTCTTCCCCAGCTCCTTCAGCTTACCCTTTTTCCCCCTGACTTGAAGGGTCACACTTCAAAACTGCCAATCGACTGCTCCTACCGACCAACATTTTCCTTTTTGGGCCTGCTTGGGATCTGGAGGCATCTGTGAGTATCACCACAGGGATCCTAACAATAGTTTTTTGCTTTGTTTAAAATCTTTTGCAACATTGCTGAAATCAGAAGTTTGCTCACTGTACTTGTAGCTTAATAGTTGGAGTTCCAACCAAAAAAATTTTCTCTAGACTCATTTGAAGGAGCTTCTTTTATTAGTTCAGGTGTACCTGTGGGCATCTTTTATGAAATAAACATGTCCTAAGGGAATACCTTACTCTGGGGAGAAATAGCATGACATATCCATAAGTTCTAGGACTAGTACCTGTGAAGGACTGGCCATGTCAAAGACCATTCATGTAAATCTCACTTGACTTTTTTTTAATTTCAGTTGTTGGAGTGTGGTGGTAATTTGTTTGATGCCATCTCCATTGCAGTGAAGGCAGCACTGTTTAATACCAGGTAAAGCCAACATATTTTTCAAAAGGAAACTTCTGGGGCAGAAGTATGTATAAGCCTAAATTCAAAAGACTAATTTCCCTGCTCTCCCCTGGGCAGCTCTTTCCCTTTCAGGCCATTTTTGCAGGCAGAGAATTGAAATGCACATAATACATAGAGCATCTCTAAATGAGTATGAAGCTCTCAAACATAGAGTTGTTGTTAGTATTACTAATTAATTGATTTCTTTAGTTTAGTTTTGTACTGCACAATAGCCAAAGCGCTCTTTGTGGTTTACAGGAGCGCATAAAAGAAAATAGAAACACAATATCAAAATAAAGTTCACAGAATAAAAAAAATACACAATTAAATTTAAAAGCCAGATTTAACACTGAAACTAAACAGCTATAAAAGCTAACACAAATTAAACCACAAGACCTGTTAGGCAACTGACATAATGCCCCAATATATCAGCTAGAGCTAGTTAAATACCCTTCTTAGAGGATTGCCTTAACCTGGTGCCAAAAGGATAGGTACCGTATTTTTCGCTCTATAAGACGCGTCTGACCATAAGAAGCACCTAGTTTTTAGAGGAGGAAAACAAGAAAAAAAAATATTCTGAATCAAATGGGCATATAATCACAGGCACATTCCCCATCACTTCCCCATGGGCTGCACATCTGACAGACTTACTGCACACACATATTCGCTCTATAAGACACACAGACATTTCCCCTTACTTTTGAGGGGGAAAAAAGTGCATCTTATAGAGCAAAAAATACGGTAGGTCTCAGACATGTGGATAGTCACAGCTGAACCAGACATATCTCTTGGGAATGTTGTGGAATACTTGAAATGAGATGCTGCCTCGGCCCAGAAATTGGAAGGTGTATATGAAAGCTGCATGGAGGCAAAACAATAGTTTCAGTGAGAAAGCTGCTATACCCAATTCTTTTTCAAATAAAATTCATGGTTATTCTGTTTTCACTTTTAACTGTTCGTGACTTGAATAGCTGTGACATAAACTGATGTCACTAGGCCATCAGAAATAGACTTTTCCTATCACCTCAGATGCTATTGGATTCTATTCAGCCTCCATTTGCCAAGTGAAATCATAGAATAATAGAGCTGGAGGGGGCCAAGAAAGCCCCCCCCCATCCAGTGCAGACTTAAGTGCCTGTATGTATGTATTCTCATGGCAGAAAGCAAAGAGGAACTAAAGAGCCTCTTGATGTGGGTGAAGGAGGAGAGCGCAAAAGTTGGCTTGAAGCTCAACATTAAGAAAACTAAGATCATGACATCCGGTCCTCTCACTTCCTGGCAAATAGAGGGGGAAGAAATGGAGGTAGTGACAGATTTTATTTTCCTGGGCTCCAAGATCACCACAGATGGGGACTACAGCCAAGAAATTAAAAAACGCTTGCTCCTGCGGAAATCTAGACAGCATACTAAAAAGCAGAGACATCACCCTGCCAACAAAAGTGCGTATAGTCAAGGCTATGGTTTTCCCAGTTGCAATGTATGGCTGTGAAAGCTGGACCATAAGGAAGGCTGAGCACCAAAGGATTGAGGCCTTTGAATTGTGGTGCTGGAGGAGACTCCTGCGAGTCCCTTGGACCACAGGGCGATCAAACCAGTCAGTCCTAGAGGAGATCAACCCTGACTGCTCTTTAGAAGGCCAGATACTGAAGATGAAACTCAAATACTTTGGCCACCTAATGAGAAGGAAGAACTCCCTGGAGAAGAGCCTAATGCTGGGAACAATAGATGGCAAAAGAAGAAGGGGACAGCAGAGGATGAGGTGGCTAGATGGAGTCACTGAGGGAGTTGGTGTGAGCTTAAGTGGACTCTGGGGGATGGTGGAGGACAGGAAGGCCTGGAGGAGTGTTGCCCATGGGGTTGCGACGGGTCGGACTCGACTTTGCAACTAAGAACAACAAAAAATGTGTGTATTAGCCCATTTCTCAACAGTCCCAACGTTTTCTTAAAAATACTGCTTCCTTTCCTATCACATCATGAACAAACTTTAAACTAAAATGTCTTGATTGCACTCTAACATTTATGAATATTAATTTTAGTTATATTGAAGATTTCACCAATGTTGGATTCAGATTCAGTATAAAGGGAGATGACCAATACTAATAATACCTGGTATTTGTAGATCGCTTTAAGAATTTTCAGAGTGTTTCACTTACATCATCTTGTTCCTCTTACAGCTACTGTATAAGGTAGATCTGTATTACATTGATGATGGAGACTGAGGCTTTGAAGGTGTGAATTCACTTTGTGAATCATAGCAGAGAGGCCTCCTGAGTTGTACCTGGGGCTGTAGAACTATGCATAGTCCCATTGACCTCAGTAGAACTTGCTCTCAGAGTACACAGGTATAGGATTCTGTTTCTTGGCTGCACCATCATTCTGATAACAAATTAGTCCCTTTTTTGCCTTTTTTGTACCCAAAGTATGTTGGTCACTTTCTCAGTTTCTGTTACCTTCCATATTTTTTGAGACCTGTCATTTATTGATGATTATTCTGAATGGAGCAGTTCATTCAGCTTGCCTTAGCACATATAGGTAAATTAATTCAATAGGACCATGTCTCTTCAGGCCTCCTTCTGTCTATGGAAATACTGTAACTTCACCCAACTTTCTAGCTCAAAACATTCAGTCTTACGATTTCTTCCTCAGTGTGTTATATAAAATCTACACAGCACTTGGGCACAGTTATGAAAGGCCATGCAAAACAGTTTTAGGCTGTTTATTTGAAAAGACCTCAGCTTTGGAATGATCCCATTATATGTTGGGAATGTGTCTTTCCTTTTTGATAGATGGCAAAGCTGTTTTAAATTATTTGCTGATTTAACTTCATTTTTAAAAATTTTAACTGGGATGGAGGGATATAACTTTCCCTGAGGTTTTATGAAAAGTCTTTCTGTTCAGAAAATGAATTGAGCCTGGTCCCTTTTTTGTTAAGCCAAAGATAACAAAGGAAATCATCAGTTCTGAGCTAGCTACAGCCACAATGTTTTATTTTAAAATGATGAATGGGTATGCCATGATTTGATTGTCATGCTGTTATGAGAGAATGAGAGAGTTTCTCACTTTACCAAGTTGAAAGGCTCTAACATAAATCCACTTCCCTGTGCCCTTCAGGTGTCTTATACTATAGCTCACGGCTGTGGATTAGGGACTGCTTTGCAGCAACTGATGCTGTTATTCTGAAAGGCACAGGCAGTAATGCTCAGATAGGCCAGAGCGAGGGCCACATTATTGGCCAACCTTTCCTCCAGAGAGCTGACAGTGGTAACAAAAAGGGGGTGGTGGGGTGGATAAAACAATATATGAGTAATATAAAACAATCCTACACTAAATCAGTAAAACACAGAACGGTAAAACAATGCGGCAGCAGAGTTATTTAAAAGCCAGAAATGGATTGAAAAACTTTTTCAGTAAGACAGCAATTTGCTGTTCAGATATCTTCCTAAAAAGGGTTTTTTTTAACAACTTAGAAAGGCCATTAGAAATGAGGTGAGATGAGTGTCCCTCAGAAGGGAGTTGGTTGAGCCTGGGTGCAGCTACTAAGGGGGCTCCTCCTTTTGTCCCAACTAAGCATGTTCTGTGAGAAACTGGGACACACTGAAGGGCCTCCAAGGATAGTCTCAGTACACAAGGAGGCTGATACAGCAGAAAGCTTCCCTACAGATACCCCAGGCCTAAACCATTCAGGGATTTGAAAGTCATCGCCTGCAATTGGAATTTGTCCTGGCTTGGCTTGATGCCCAGGGAAAGGAACCTGCAGCCCTTGTGCTAGTATTTGGTAGAGAGGGGTCCCATCTGGCCAAGGGCAGTCAGGTCCAGGGGCAGGATATTGAGCACAGCCTTTCCTGAGAGCAGTAGCTGCTGCTCCAGCAGTAGAGAGCAGGCAACAGAGGCCTTAAGGCTGGCAGGCCCAGAGCATTCAGAGGCTGCACCCCAAGGGAATCTTAGCTGAAGTCTTGCAGAGGCCCATGGTGATTTCTATTGCTTCCTGGCTGAGGGAAGTCATCCTCAGGGTCTGAGGCTGAGGGGAAAGTCTGGCAGATATTTCAGGGGTGCTGAGGCTTCCCCTGAAATGGGACTTCTTAGACCTGTGAGGACTCCATCTAGTGCTCAGTGCCTGAGAGCATGACGGAACTGTGACAAGCTGTTTCAGGAGCAGGGTGAGGCAATCTAACATGACAAAATCTGCAGGGATGGCATACTACTGAGTAGTCACTTTTGTTTTCTTTAGGATACCCAAAGTACGTGTTTTGGAAGATGAAGGAGGACGGGAAATAGAGCTTTCTGATGATCCCTTTGACTGTATCCGGCTTAACGTAGATAACGTCCCTTGCATTGTCACACTAAGCAAAGTAAGCCTCTGGAGTGTCTGAACTTTTTGTTTCAGTTGCACCCCACTTCTTGTTGTAAACACAGCTGTGCAGTTCTTTTGGAAGCTATATGAGAGATGTTTATTATTGCTTTCAGAGGAAGGGATCTGAGTTTCTGTTTTTCTCATTAATTGGAGGAAGTCACCTTTGTTTAGCAAATAAGATTACCCATTCATGCCTTATGAAGCAGATGACTGTTGTTTACTAGTGGTTTGCAAAGGTATTTATTGTATTTATTTATTGTATATATTTATTCAGTTTATATTCTGCAGTTAAGTTATTCCCAAGAACTCTCTAAGTGGATTACAGAATGGATTGTTTTGGCACCCTGTTTGGGAAAGGAGCTTTTTCAATGCCCCCTATCCCAAGGGAAGCTTGCCTAGCACCTGCACTGCTGTATTTCTGGGGTCAGGTTAAGAATTCCCTGTTCTCCTAGGCTTTTAAAACAATCTAAAAACCTTTGGAAATGTTTTTCATACTTTTACATTACATTATCCCATTTCCCATACTGTTGTTTGTTATCGTAGTCACTTTTGGCAAACGTGTTCCAGAAATGGGGTGCAACCACCAAGAAGGCCCTGTCTGAACTTATATGACAGGATCCTCCAGAGCAGGGCTTCTAAAATGATCTTAACATCTGCAAGGCATCCATAAATACCTTACATGCTTTTTGGAGTATACGCAATAGAATTGTCTCTAATGACTGAATGACTGGAAAGACGTGTCCATTCAGCAGCTCTCTGTTTGCAGCAGTACTCTCATGCGTGCTTGGAACAGGGCCTTTGCAATGGGATTGTATGTATGCTTATTCAGAAGTATGGCCCACTGTGCTCCCACTTTGTGCACAAAAGGTCCCAAGTTCATCCCCCACCATCCCTAGGTGCAGCTGGAAAAAATTCCTGCCTGGAGCCTCCATGACTCAGCAGGAGTTGATAGTCTGGGTTAGATGGACTCATTATCTAAGACCCTTCCTGGTAGCTCATGTGTTCTTTGTTGCTTTTACAGATTGGCTATAGGCATGTAGTGGATGCCACCCTTCAGGAGGAAGCATGCTCTTTGGCTAGCCTCCTCATCTCTGTGACGACTAAAGGTGTCCTAACCTGTATGAAGAAAGTGGGAGGAGGGAGCCTCGATCCAGAAAGCATATTTGAGATGATGGAGGTAAGCAAGCTTTGGACAGGTTGCAATAACTCTAACCTCTTTCAGGTGTGAATTTTGGGCATGTTAGTAAGTCAGCCATAACCAGTTGTCCTGTTTTACTTTTAAATGTAACCTCTGAAATTTCAGTGGTTTTCAAGAAACTATTCAAGGTACACTCGCTAAAGCTGGTTGCTACAATTTCTGTTGTGGGCAGGCATTAACACATATAAACAATGCTGTTCCTCCTCTGAAATGGTGATAGAGGGTTCTTTTTCTGAAGAAATGTAAGGAATGTTTTTTTGCCAGGTGGGAGTTGAAGCCAGATGTTAAAAAGACAGAGCACATGATTTGTAACAGTTTCATAACTGTTCTTTCTTGTAATATTCTCTGATGTATTGATTGCACCTTTGTTTGTCAGTCTTGGGGCAAAAGGTTCAAGCTAGCACAAGCAGATGAAAAAAAAATCTGAAGCACTAGAAGATTGCTTTGAAAAAGTATAGTTAGGTTGTACTTCAGATCCGCTTTTATTTATGCTGAACACTGCTTATTTGTAGTGTTTGGAGCTCTTTCTTACATATTATGGTTATGCCTTTTGTTTCATTACTTTAGGTCTATAGTTTATATCTCACTCCCTTTTAAGGTGTTCAGATGATACGAGAAACCTTCCTTATTTTACATGCCAAGACACACAGCAGGGAATTGATTTTTGTTGCATTTTCCCATGAGCACTGTAGTGGCAATGTCTTCACCTTCTCTCCAATCTCCACTGATAACCAGAGCCAAAACTTTCTTTAAAGATGGACATTTTTCTCTCTGTTGGGAGGGTTAGAGTATTTCATGGTAACCCTTCTGACTTGCCATGTTGTTGTTGTTGTTAGTCGTGAAGTTGTGTCTGACCCATCACAACCCCATGGACAACATTCCTCCATGCCTTCCTATCCTCCACCATCCCTGGAGTTCACTTAAGCTCACACCAACTACTTCAGTGACTCCATCTAGCCACCTCATCCTCTGCCGTCCCCTTCTTCTTTTGCCATCTATTGTTCCCAGCATTAGACTCTTCTCCAGGGAGTCCTTCCTTCTCATTAGGTGGCCAAAGTATTTGAGTTTCATCTTCAGGATCTGGCCTTCTAAAGAGCAGTCAGGGTTGATCTCCTAGGACTGACCGGTTTGATCGCCTTGTGGTTCAAGGGACTCGCAGGAGTCTCCTCCAGCACCACAATTCAAAGGCCTCAGTTCTTCGGCGCTCAGCCTTCCTTATAGTCCAACTTTCATAGCCATACATTGCAACTGGGAAAACCATAGCCTTGACTATATGCACTTTTGTTGGCAGGGAGATGTCTCTGCTTTTTAGTATGCTGTCTAGATTTGCCATAGCTTTCCTCCCCAGGAGCAAGCGCCTTTTAATTTCTTGGCTGCATTCCCCATCTGTGGTGATCTTGGAGTCCAGGAAAATAAAATCTGTCACTACCTCCGTTTCTTCCCTATCTATTTGCCAGGAAGTGAGAGGGCCGGATGCCATGATCTTAGTTTTCTTAATGTTGAGTTTCAAGCCAGCTTTTGCACTCTCCTCCTTCACCTGCATCAAGAGGTTCTTTAGTTCCTCTTCACTTTGCCATGAGAGTGGTATCATCTGCATATCTGAGGTTGTTGATATTTCTCCCAGAAATCTTAATTCCAACTGGTGATTCATCTTGCCCCACCTTTCTCATGATGTGCTCTGCATATAAGTTAAATAGGCAGGGCAACAGTATGCAGCCTTGCTGAACTCCTTTCTCAATTTTGAACCAATCAGTGGTTCCTTGTCCAGTTCTCACTGTTGCTTCTTGACCCGCATATAGGTTTCTCAAGAGACAAATAAGATGGTCTGGTACTCCCATCTCTTTAAAAACTTGCCACAATTTGTTGTGATCCACACAGTCAAAGGCTTTAGCATAGCCAATAAAGCAGACATTCATGTTTTTCTGGAACTCCCTAGCTTTCTCCATGATGCAACGTATGTTGGCAGTTTGATCTCTAGTTCCTCTGCCTCTTTGAAACCCTGCCTGTACTTCTGGTAGTTCTCGGTCCACATACTGCTGGAGCCTAGCTTATAGGATTTTGAGCATCACTTTGCTAGCATGTGAAATGAGTGCAACGATGCGGTAGTTTGAAAATTCTTTGGCATTGCCCTTCTTTGGGATTGGAATGTAAACTGACCTTTTCCAATCCTGTGGCCACTGTTGAGTTTTCCAAATTTGCTGGCATATTGAGTGGAGCACTTTTACTGCATCGTCTTTTAAGATTTTGAATAGATCAGCTGGAATACTGGCACCTCCACTAGCTTTGTTGTTGCTCAGACTTCCTAAGGCCCATTTGACTTCACATTCCAGGATGTCTTGCTCGAGGTCTTAATCTCTTCCGCCTCTGTTAGGTCCTTGCCATTTTGGTCCTTTATCATGCCCATCTTTGCATGAACCATTCCCTTCATATCTCCAATTTTCTTGAAGAGATCTCTGGTCCTCCCTATTCTATTGTTTTTTCTATTTCTTTGCACTGTTCATAAGACACATGTTGGTTGGGTTCTCAAGGAGGGGAATTTTTCAGCATTTGAAATCTGCTTCTTTTCTAAGGGGGTGCTCTTTGGTTCTGTTTGTAAGGTTTTCCAGACCATTCCCTCTTCTGAGTTTTGCTTTGTTTTTTACTGGTTCAGTAAATCAGGATCTGGGCACAGAGTAGATCACGCAAGCATGTCCTTCAGCATATAATTATAAGTGTGGTGTGGGCAAATTCTGTGCAAGTTGAATATAAGCCCCAAACGTAGTTGTTGAATGCTAAAAATCTGCTCAACAGGAACACCATTTTATGCATGACTTCTTTGAGCTTTCCAGTACTTTAAAAATGGTTTTGATCAAGTTGAAACAATGTGAGTGTTCGCGGTTTTTTGCTCTGATGGGTTTGATTTTAAAAGTACAATATATGTATCTCACCTAGTTGTTAACTTTTAAGGAGAACTATTTACACAAAAGAAGCAGCCTTTTGTATGGAATCTTTTCTTCTAATTAAATTGTCCTCCATTACATTGGTTTTTGATTCCTTTTCATTTGCATTTCAGACAGGAAAGAAAGTGGGCAAGTTATTACATACCTCCTTGCAAGCCATCTTAGACAAGGAAGAGAGTCTTGGAACAGCACGGAAAAAAGTCGGATTCTTGGGATGAGAACCATCAGTTTGTTAATCCTGTTGCAAATTTATCAAAGTGTGGTTTATTTGTTCCTGATTTTTTTTACAAAGATCTATGTATATTTTTTTAAATAAAGGTGCATTTTCCTTCTCTCGTTTCTCATTGCAACTTTTGTTAAGTGGTGTTTAAATATTGGGTGCAAAATAGAAGAATATTATGAATGCTTTCTTTGCTTAGCCCAGGTGTTCGTGATGTGGAAAAGAGTTTCTGTTCTGATCTGCTCTTGCCAGTATGCATGCTCACAAGAAGGCTTTTGCGGTATTTATTTATTAAAAGCTTTTCTAACCCGTCCCCTACAAATGTCTCAGGATGGCGTATAATAAATGAGCAGAATGAAACAAACACCACAGCATCTGACAGTTAATATGCTAAAACCCCAGTTAAAATTAAACTTTAAAATAGTGGGAAAATAAAAAGGGGTTAGCTGACGCCAAAAAGAATATAACGGACCAGGCAAACCTCTCTGGGGAGCATATTTCATAATCGGGGTGCCACCGCAGAGAAGACCCTCCTCCGGCTATTCTCCCTCCTAATCTCCTTCAAAGAGGGCTCCCAGAGCAGGACCTCCACCTCAGATCTCAAGGGTTGGGTTTGCCGGCACTGTGCTTGCCCTATCTAAAACTCACACATGCAGCAAGGGTGCAGCAAAAGCAATGACAGACCTGAAGACTCCAGTGGTATTCACAGAGCCCCTCCCTGTTAATCCAGGTTATTGTCCCCACAAATACAATAGGCTGTACTAGAGAAGGGAGCCACAAGCACACTGGGTGGCTTAGGCAGCCTGATCTGTATTATGTCTCTGGGCAGGTTTTAAAGAAATAGAATGTCTCAGAAGTGAACTGCCTTGTTCCACACGGCAAAGAATGGTGTGGACAAGATTCTGTATCTGGCACAAAGGCATAAGCATCTTGCTCCGAACAGACGGCTGCCAGCACACCCAAGCAGCATGGCTCAAAGATTAGAGAGCGGCCTTCGCTGCTGCCATCGAGGCCGGTGGAAATTTCCACGTGTTGCCGCGCAGCTATTGCCACGTTTTCATTGTCATTCATCCAGTCAAACAATAAAAAGAAACATCTGTGGAGCAAAGAACTCAGTGCTTGTCCCAGAAACTTTATTGCTTTGCTCAAAATGTAACATCCAAAAGCCTCACGAAATAAACCAAGTATTTCCAAAGCTTCAGAGAAAATAAGAAATACTCTATCCAGTACTTCAAAATATTTTTATTCATGCGTCAGTGTTGGAAGGGTCCTTCTGAACTATAATGCAGATCAGCTGTCCTGAAAAAAATCCTCTTTTAAGAAATCTTATTCATTCATGAGAAGCAATTGGCTATTTTTTTCCTCTGATGATCTTTTGCAACAGCATTTTCAAGGTTGCTAGTTAGTCCCAAATGCCTTATTTCAAGTTTCAGTTCACCGGATCATTTCAGTAAATACAAAACCACATACTCCTCCCTTAAAGGACCATGAATCAGTTTCAGAATTTCACTGTTGTGTGACGGCCATCGTGAGGAGGCCATAACCCTGGATGAAAAATAAAATTTTGAAAAGTTCAGGAGTCAGGAGGCTGTTACATATGTGGAGGTGCCACTGGATTTCCGGCATTTGAATACAACGTGTGAGCCAGGATACGTTTATCTGACTGTAATAGCAGTAACATTTTATATAGCAGTTTATCTTTTGGACAATCACTTAGAATCAGGGATATGTTTACAAATTTTCCCAGCCTGCTGCTCTCCACTCATTTTGGACTTCAACTCCCATCAGTCCTGACCAGTGTTCAGGGAACCCAAATCATTTAGAGCACCCAGAGACTGGTTTACTCCTAGTTCGTATTTTACTTCCTCCAAATAAGAGCCAGTGTGGTGTAGTGGTTAAGAGTGTGGGACTGGGACTCGGGCATCTTTGGTTCTCGTCGCCGCTCAACCATGGAGCCAAATGGGTGACTCTGGGCCAGTCACAGACTCAGCTCAACCTACCTCACAGGGTTTTTGTGCGGATTACACTGAGAGGAGGCGGCGGCAAATGATGTAAGCCACTTTGAGTTCTTTAAAAGAAAAAAGGCAGGATATGCATTAGTTAAATCAATAAACACATGTAAACATGAGCTACAGGATGTTTGTATACTATCGGTTTTGCAGTCACCAGTGCAAGTACAAACAAGTTCTAAGCACCGACGGAACAAACACTATTGGATTTGATGGAGCCAAGCACTGCCTACTTGCAACCCCTCAAGCAAGTTGCAGCTCAGCGTCCTCTTCTCATGCCATCTGTTAGCCGTTTACCTGGCAGACCAAACCAGGCACAGAAAGGATGTATGAATTCCTTCATGACCTACTTATTTCATATTTGTTTGCTGGTGTGGAATCCAGCTATGTCCAGACTGGGAATGTAAAAGCCATAACTAGTCACTTGGTTCTATTCCCCTTCTGCGGTTGTTCCCAGGTTCACAGTTAAGGCTTAGCATTTGTTTGCAGTTGAAACAAAAGCGGGATAACAAATATCAACACCATTCACAAAACTAACCATTAAATAACTAACACCACTAATAAAAAAGTGGGGGCAGGGGAGGTCTTCTATTTCAAAATGTGTCCTAAAGTGCATTCTGCCCCATTTACTTACCTGGCAATATCTGCTAATTTCCTAGAACTTTTTCTAAAGCTACTTGAGATCTCAGGGCCCATTTGTTTCTTCTACATTGGCTCTATGTCTGTCCTTTTCATAATCAAAAATGTCTGGCCATTCTTCATTGCACTGTTCATACTTTGTAACAGCTAACAAGCTGGTACCTTCACAGGGTTATCTCAATGGATGTATCAATCCTGTTGTGTCAATAGCCTCTCACATAGTTACCAATGGTGACTAATAATTGTTTCCAGGCAACCAGTTTTTCTAATTGGAAGAGATTATCTTTTCCCCCCTTTTAGGCTGTCAAGAATGTCACAAATGACTACCAGGCAGATTATTAAAACATTTGTGCACTTGCAACTTGCAGAGTGACTTATACAATGTCAGCATGTGGAAAAAATCAGAAATTTGAGGGAAAGTTAAGTAAAAGTTTCAAGAGGAGACAGGAAAGGAACAACTTTACAGTACCTGAAACAGCTGAAGTTCAGAAAAAGTGAGGAAGCTTTTGAGTTGCACAGAATGTGTTGTACTGGAGGTTTAAAAAAAGGAGAAAGCTATTTCTGGTGGAGATCATGAAAAACTCATTCTGTTCTTGCTGTGTCAGGATGTTGGTGACTTTGAAGTGCTAATACCTCTAAATCCATTATTCATTTCTAAATAATAACTTATCTTTAAATATAGCAAAATGATTGTGTAGATACTTGACTGCATTTCTTATAGCACAGCAATAGAACGTTTGTCTTTGTATATTAAACCGGATATTATCCTTGACCCTGGCAAGCTAAATGCTTGTTAAAAGTTTCCCCATGCTTTGGTTTTGGGGAATGCCTAGCATAGCATTCTCTGCAGTGTTGCTTCTTCCCAGTGCTCCTTCAATCCACTCAAAGCCCCATGATGTAACGGCGCATGCCAGAGCTATGCCATGACTAATGGGGGATGCAGTGGATGCTAACCAACTCAGTAACCCACACTGGCAGCTAGTGCAGCATCTTGGTCTGGATTAGTGCAGCAATAACCCCAGTGCAGTGCAAAATCTCACCATGCTATCTCCCCAGATCAGCAATACTTAGGACACTTCCTATGAATGTTCACTCTGAACAAAACCGTTCTGGGTTTCCATTCTGTATCAGGGAGATGCATTCACAAGTAAAGGGTTTGCCATTCACTAAGTCCTCTTCAGGCACTCTTACTTGCTGCCTACACCTGCAAATCCCCCTCCGAGAATGTAGGCAGCTGGTTTTAGCTTGGAGACAGGCAGACAACATGAAATAGTCATTGGGTCCTTCTAAATGGCTGTCAGAATTCATTGATTTTTCCATTGGCTATTGCAATAAATTATTAGTCCAAGGGTGATTGGTTGCTTATGTTGTTGTCTTTAGGAATCATAAAAAATAGTGCCCCGTACTTGTGCAGCTGCTTTGGTTAGGGATTTATTTGCTAGGATAGTGGTGGTGCTTGTGCATCTTTGCCTGGAGTGTGACAGGCAGGATTCTAACACATGGAACTCTCCTTATTAATCCATCCACACACTCAGAAATACATTGTATGTATGTACCGTGTTTCCCCAAAAATAAGTGTCTTATATATTTTTTTTTTGGCTCACAAAAACACACTAGGTCTTATTTTTGGGGTAGGTCTTATTTTTTATTTTATTTTTTAATATGTACAACAATCCACACTTATTCATGTACAACAGCATGAATACATGTACATCTGGTATCACTCCGCCTGTGACAGGAGCCGGCGCTACAGAGGAAGCATTGGCTCATGCGACTCTGCTCCCTCCGCAGGAAGCAGAGGGAGCAGAGCTGCATAAGCATGTTTCCTCCACACAGTGCATTAAGTTAAAGTTAAGTTAAAAAATAAAGTTTAAAAAGGCTCTTTATGTCCCCCACTGGCCCTGGGAATAAACACAGCTAGGTCTTATTTTCAAGGTAGGTCTTATATTTTAGCAAGTACCAAAAATAGTACTAGGTCTTATTTTCAGGGAAACATGGTATGTATGTATGCATTACATTTATATTTCCTCCTCAAGGAACCCAAGGCAGCTGACATTAGCCTCCTCTCCACCTGATTCCCACAACAACCCTGTGAGGTAGTTAGACTGAGTGTGAGTGACCAGCCCAAAGTTCTCCATTGAGTTCCACAATTAAGAGGGGACTAGAATCCAAGCTTGCAGAGTCCTGCTGTAACCACTGCACCGCAGTAGCTTTGCTGATTGCATTTCTACCTCCCATTTATCAGGCCAGAATCTGGCTTTCTTGCACTTGCCGCTCTTCTTTCCTGTGCTTGACACCGGCCGTGAGGTACGCCAAGTCAAGATCAAGTCTGTGAACGTCTGAGAACACTAATGGACCCTTCCTTTGCACAAAGTGTGCAAAGTACACAATGCCCATGAGTCACGTGTGCTGAAGCAGAAAGCTGCTTGCATGACAGCAACATGTGTGCAAGCTGGCCTCCCATGCTCACTTGGACTTCCTTCCTGCCACATGCCCACGTGAACACTGGGCCCAAGGCAGGCCTGAAGCAGTGAGATAGCAGGCTGGGAGCCAGGAACCTGAACGAAAGAAATCCAGTGGATTCCTACCCTCAATCAGATTCCTCACACATTGCCATTGAGCAACTGATAGAATTAATTGCCAACTTACTAGGAAAAAAGCAGGCCCTGCTCCTGGTGCCTTTCCCCCATTGCAGAACTCAGTAGATGAAGCTGAACATCAGAAATTATTTTGCCTATGTAGATGAAATCAATGGAGCCGAATGCCATCAACCATTGTTTTGCCTGTGTTTATCCTTTGTTCATTCTTTCCCTGTATTCTTAGTAGCTTGGTCTTGCAACCTTTATCTGAATGAAGCTGGATGTTTTCTGGTTTTATTTATTTATTCCTGATGTTGTTCGCTGAATTTTGCTGGCCAGTTTGCATGTCTGTGCTGTAGGAGGAAAGCAGAAAAGCAATTGAGCCTTAAAGAAATGTCAGCACATTTTATAGGTACAGCTACATGGATGGGTGAAAAGCTGGTAACAGCCTGACAGAGAAAAATGTGGCAACACTGTTTTGGAATCTCTATAAATTCTTGGAAAAACACGCATTTGGGCTATTTGTCTGTCAGTTTAAGCTTAACCTAGGAAACAATCGAAACATCTTATTTCCAGACACGCACTCCTTTTTTGAAAGCCCTTATGATATTAGATCTCTCCCAGCAATCTGTAAAAATAACCTCTAGTCCCTGGAATGCTACGGAAGAATCTGGAACAGTTTCTTGGCCAGACTGTTGGTTAAAGCCCATGTTAAGAAGCCTGGCTCAGGGCAGCGCAAAGCCACTTCAGCTCAGCTCCCTTCAAGAATAAACAGCAGCAACAGCAGAAGAATGCCTTTCCGAGGATTTTGCCTTCTTGTGTGCCTTTTTTGTATGGCACATTTGACAATTCAGCAAGGCACCAGATCCAAGAAAAAGGCAGAGCCCAAAAGAGGTAAGAGAGCAAAGAAAATTAATTGGCAAGGGGGTTTCCGGACAAGGATTTTATTCTGCAATCACCCTTCCTCATGCATGGAATTCTACTATTCTTCTATTCTTGATTTTGTTTCCATGATATTTTCCTTTTCCCAAAAAAAAAAAAAAAACCTTAAGGAAGAAAAGACGGAAAGCTGGCCAATGTATTGATGTATTTTCATCAGTAAAGCTAGGAGCCATCCATCTGGGGGCACCCCAAATTCCTATCTTGGCATGATTACTCCGTTTTTTACAGATTTTTTCCTGTTTCAGTTTCAAGGTTACATCTCAGATAGGTTTCACATTTTAAAAATATTACCAGGTTACAATATATAATACAATATGCACTGTGTGTGTGTGTACATATATACAATATGCACTATATAAAGTTTATAAATATATATACATATATACAATATTACATATACAATCTTGTACAATATACAATATATAAAGCCCTCCTATTACTTAAGAATAAATGGAACTCATAAAAGGAGCTGATTTTGTCATGTGTTTGTGTATGGATGTATCTACCTATCCAAAATCCACAAGAGATATATAAGAACTAATTAAAATCTTATACGACAGTAACCATTTGCAAAAGCTGAGCAGGGCTGTCAAAGACAAGACATTTTGGAAGGCTTTCCTCAGCAGGGTCATCTTGAGTCAGAGAGGACTTAATAGCACATAATAATAGCAAAGATGGTACCCAAGCTGTAGAGTTCTACTGAATCTTTATCAGGCAAAATGTAAATTAAAAGAAGAAGTGATGGTGGGAATACTGGGAGGGATATGGTTGACTCCTTAGATCTGCTGACTGCTGCCCTGCACACATTAAGTCCTGTCAAAGTCCGTGAGAACCTCTTCTCTGTAGACGTGCAGAGGGTTCTACCAACAGCTTCTCAGAGGTTCTTTGATGCCATGAAGACAAAGAAGCAAAATGGGCATGTAAAGTAGAGCTGTTACTCTATTCGGTCTCAGATTGAAACATGCTGCTTCCCAGGAAGGAGAGAGTAAAGTCATAGGGCATGGTATTTTATGCTTCTTGCTTCTACTCAAAGGGTTCTCCCCCCTCCAAGCTGAATCAGAAGAGCCAGCAGAAGTCACACTAGCCCAAGGCTAGTACTCTGTGCTAGAATGCTGGTCTATCTCATGAGGAAATCTTTATGCTTCTGGTTTTTACTCTAAAGTGAAGTGTCCCCTTTGCAGACTTGTTAAAACTACTTGGTATCTCTCAAGTTATGCATGAACCAAATTCCAGGTTTCTGCGTGGTCTCTGCACAAAAATACTTTTAACGTTTGTGGAGGTAGTCATTTCAACGGGTCTGCTCTAAGAAGGACTCTCACAGATTCCAAGTCTTTCTTTTTGTGTTGGTTCTATTAAATTTATCAGTATGCAAAACCCAACATTCTCTGGGTAACATCAAAAGAGGTTAAAATCTCACTTTAAAATACCAAGCAATAACATTGCCAAAAAAACCCACACACATGCACGAATACATGCACCCCCCACCCGTAAAACAGAACAGCCATACTAAAGCAGAAGTTCATGTAGTTCCAGAAATAAATAATCTTGGCAGAGCTATATAAAAAAGTCAGCTATATAAAAAGCCACAGTAAAATACATAGTAATTTTACCTACTTGTGAGTGGTTATTTTACTCTTTCTGGTTCTCATTGTTTTCCCCTTACTAGCCTACATCATGCATGTCAAGAGGATTTTATGAAATAAGGTCATGCACTATGCACATGCTAAATGCATGAATAATTATTAATATATCTCTTTATAACATTAACTGTAGAAAAAGCCCTGCAATATTTAAATCGTTTTGACTGGCTGATGTATGGAGGTTCAAATCAAGTATATGTTAAAACAAGATCTGGCTCTCTGTCACTGGGTTTGGAATTACTATCAACAATCACTGCAAGATATTGACATTCTATTTTAATATGCAGCTCTCCAGCTGTGACTAGGAGATCTCTGAAAACTTAGGTCTGTAGAAACCAATTTCAGCTCAAGGATGAAGCTCGATGATTTTGCCCAAAGAGAAAAGCGAGTAACAAAGTGCAGAAAAACTAAAAGAAGTTGGGGTGGTTTTTGCCCTAGTGCTGACAATCAGAGGCCATTGTGCATGTGACTATATTGTATGCCTTGACGAATTATCCATGGTAACAAGGCAGATGGAAGAAATGGAGAACAAAGGAGGGCTGTGAGTAGAAGATGGCATAGTCTAGACCCCCCTAAAATCCTGTGGGTGAGGCAGGGTGATTATGGGTGGTCCTACTGTGAAGCCGGGTGAGGCAGTTGCTTTGGGGTGAGGAACAGACAAAATGATGTGCTACATGGCCTGGCCTACAGACTCTAGGCTAGTCAGGGGCCCTCAACTGCAGTGGAGAACACTGTCCCATCACCAGTAGTGAAATAAAATGCCATCAGGCTGTCTGCTAGGCTTAAGTACATGGAATGGAGAGATCCCTTTGACTCAGACTGCAAAACTTTTTGGAACAGCACCATGGTTGAAGGCACAATAAACATTTGGAATCACATTCAGTGTGAGAAAAAGAACAATTAATGTGTCCCATTAAGCCATGTCATTAATTAGATACATACATTCGGTTTCTGCAATTTATCATTTTTGAGAATACCCATCAAGTGTTAAAAAAACAGTTAAAAAGTGCCTTCAATTATTTTCAAGTGGAGGTGAGGCATATCTCTCTGCACTGGGCCAGAAACATCAGTACAATCTTGTTGGTTGAATAGTGCGATCCTTCTGTAGCTTTTGTAGTCAGAGTAACTGGTGTTAATGGATTGCCTTCTCCCTGAAGTGCTAGCTTTCAGTGTGCAAGGAGACTTCGCTTCTCCCTCCTTGTAGAAGAGCTTCCTAACTTAAGGTGCACCTCCCTTGCAGTTTGAAGTGGATGGTCCAGCATAACCTGTATGTGAACAGGTTAGTTTTCCATTTTTCTCCCATGGTTGTGAACTTCATCCTCCCCTGAGCTGAAATGCGCCTGCTTACAGACTCTGCTCAGCGGACAGCAGCTGGCGCGGCTACCACAAGTGGAGGTTGGAGTACCCACAGGGCTACAGTTGGCATCATGGATCTTCATTGGCTACTGCTTCTTCTCCATTATATCAGGATATGCAAAAGAAACAATACTGTGGTTAAAATGGATCTGGAAGCATTATGCAATCTATTGCAAAAGACATGGGCTGAAATCCTATACTTGCTTACGTGGGAGTCCCACTGATCCATGGGCCATACTTGAGTCAACACTTCTAGGTTTGTAAGATGTTTGTGTCCCTCGGCGAGAAGGTATGTTTATACAGAAGTTCATCCATAGTGCAAACTACTGCGTGGATGCATAGCCACAGGTTTCTAAAATCGGCCAGGATTCTTCCATGAACCCAGCAAGGGTATCATTACTGGTACAGCCAGCAACACCAGGGCAGCGTTCAGGGGGAAGAAAGAGGAGATGCAAGTGGAATAAGTAACTGTGTGTCCTGAATGATAGGCCCCCAGGGCGGACCTTTCTAAGCTGAGAACTTTGCAAATATCACTTAGAACTGCCTCCCCCAACTTGGGGCCTCCAGATGTGTTTGACCAGTACTCTGATTCAACAAATTGGGCTGGATCCAGATTTATCCTGGCTCAATCACTCTGGAGGAAATGCATTTCCCCCTGCCTTCTTTCAACCCGCAGGAAATGCTACACAGAGAATCAGAAGACCCTGCTGAATGGGGTGAGTGGTGCTGTATGGAAAGGAGGACATCCAACATTAGTTTGGGTGGGAGTGGAGATTTTCTTTTGGAGGAGCCAGAGCCTGAATCTGAGCAGCGTCATACTGGGGAAAACAGACATAGAGTGACTTTATTCATTTTTCGTTCAGGAAGCAGTCAGCACTCAGTTACCCTCCCTCTATCATTCTCCTGCGGCGGAGCATGTATACAGGGTTCAATTTATATTGAACCATGAATTGAACCAGACCCATAGAATCTTATGGCACCTTTCAGACAGCTCATTTTTGCAGTTAAGTATACATCTGGCAAAGCAGGGAAACTCTCTTGTCAAGAGTGACAGCACAAAACGGCACTCATGCTAAGATAAAACGAACTCTGCTGGGTACACATCCTAGGAGCAAGTAAGCTCATCCATCAAAATAGGAATAATATTGTGATGAAAGATCCCCTTTGACTAGAGTGCCGTAACATAAAGATTTCCCCAGAATGTGTTTTGGTGAGAGGAATCAGAATGACAATATTGATTAATGTAACTTTTGTGGAGTTCATTAAAGTGAACTAAGGGAGGAGTAAAAGAGTGATATTTTAGAGATCGTGAGAGTCAGTGTGGTGCAGTATTTAGCGTGTTGGATTGGGGAGCTGAGAGATCCAGGTTCTAATCCCCAGTCTCTGGGCCAGTCACTCACTCTCAGCCCGACCTACCTCACAGGGTTGTTGTTTTTGTGAGGATAAAATTGAGTTATGTAAGCCACCTTGGGTTCCTCATAAGAGGAGAAATGACATGATATCAATGCCATGTGATAATAATAATAAATAGCAACACACACTTCACTTTTTGTCCATATGAGACATGTTTAATTTCTACCATTTCTTTCATAGAATAAATTATTTCAGCACTGGCATCTCACAAAAATGGAGACATACAGGGAATTATAATCAACAAGATGGTCAGGTCTGGGGATATTTGGGGCCCATCTTTAATCAGATCTACCTTTTATGCTGTGTGTCAAAAACTGGATGTTGATCTATGTGTAGACCAAAGAATTGAATAAATCAGCCAAGGATCATTCTAAGCTTCTGTTCTACTCACAGCTTCTTTATATAGTAGTTGTCTTGAAGTAGCAGCCAATGAGCTTGATTCACTTTCTGCTCTGTTTATGCAAGCTGAAGATTAGAGGCTGAACTGAAGATCGAAAATTGAACTGCTAGCTAATTGGAGGCTACTGGCTTGCCTCTCTCTCATCTTGACATAAATTACTATGTGAGGCCCAGTATGGCTATTATAGGTCAGTGGAGTTCAAATGCCACCGAGCAACTTGAAAGTAACTTCTGATGGCAGTGAGAAGCAGGAAACATTTAAACAAGTCTTGCTTTGAATAATAAGCTTGAATGCATGCCAGCTGCAGTGTCACCAGATGTCCTTGATTCACAGTGGCACCAGTGGAATTCAGCCAATTATTTTTAATTGCATAAAGACAGTGAATAACACATTATTACTGAACCAGCACCCTTTAGAATTCTGGTACCATCCCTCTTACTTTATCAGGATAAAAGAAAAGAATATACAATAAAATGGGGGAGGAAAGAAAGAATACAGAAAGTAAACAAGAGCCAGGAATTATAATCTTTTGAGCTGATCTGGGTAGAAGTGATGCTAATGCAGCAGACATGCAAACAGGAGGTAATCTTTTTGCCATGTGGAAACATAGTGACCTGTTCATGTCATATACTCTATGGTATTTGGGACAAGTATGCATTGTAATATGCTATTTGCATTTTCATTCACTGTACCATTGGTTGCATCATCAATGGAGGTGTGCATGCCAATTCTTTTCATAAAGCGGATGCCGTCATTTATCTGTTTGTTTCTTCAACAGATGTAAACTTCAAAATGCTTGCAGACTTAAATGAGAGGCTGGACAATCTCTCCCAGGAGGTGGCTTTGCTCAAGGAAAAGCAAGCACTTCAAACAGGTACATAATCTAACACTCATAACTTTCACACTCCACGCCATTGCCTCAGCTTGCAGAACACATTCAGGCAATGGGATTTTTATATGTGACCCAAAACCATGGTTTGTTCAGTTAACCTGTGGTTGGTTTGCATCTCCAAACCCAAAATGCCTCACTAATACTGGTTTGTTTAGGACCAACAAATCTGGATCTTAGACTGCAGCTTGAAACTGGTTGGTGAACTATAGTTTGTAGCACTAACTGTGGTTTTTCATGATGTTCAAACTGAAGATGTCTTGGTTTTCTTCCAGATGTCTTGCTCAAGATGTCTTGATATCTGTTTTCTCAAGATGTCTTGCTTTTACCTCACACCACACCTGACTACAGAGTTGAGACAAAGAAAAGGAAAGCTTCTTAGAGGCTCTTCCAGCCCACTTCTTGGCTGTCAGATTTTAAGCCTGCTAAAGTCATGGGGTCCCATTGAGCCCACTTCTACTGGGATGGTTAAAATGACCTGGGATGTAGTTGGAAACACTGGGTGGTTTTGCACAACACAACAAGCCAGGGTAGTTCTTAGTGCAGTTTGGTCTGATGCATCATCTGAACCATATTTCAGTATGGTACGCTTGATTTTTAGAAACCACAGTAAGAAGCAACAATGTGTTCTATGCTTCACCATGGTTCCTCTTGTCATCCAAACCTGGCATTGTGGTTTCCATGGTCCTGGTATGCAGCTACCACAGAGTCTTTGAAAAAAGAGGCAGCTGCAGGAGCTTTTCCAGCCATCCAGAGTAGGATTGAATTTCAGGAGCAGTAGCTGATGGGATACATGCCAACAGTGGGAGGACTGAGTGGGGAGGGTGGAAACCATACTAGCATGGAAACCACCTGATCATCTGTCACGCTCACCCAGGGAAAAAATGCAAAATGTGGAAAGCACGCAGGGTTGCTTGTTCTGGTACGTGAATCCACGTTGCATTGCATTGCTTATCACCAGTGATGGCACAGTCATTTTCCAACTGAATGCTTGTGGTAGCAGAAAGAGGGAGGCGAGGAGAAAAAAAGTAAGTCTACCAACATGCTTGTCAAGCACATTTATTAGGAATGGAATAAAAACTGCATCCTTGTATGTATGGGTAACAGCATCATTATTATCCTTTCAGTAAGAAAGTTCTTTCTCTGTTGCTCCTCCTTCCTGATCTCTCCCCCTCCCTTTTTTTTTCCAGTTTGTCTGAAAGGCACCAAGATCAACCTAAAATGTATCCTGGCTTTTTCTGATGCAAAGACCTATCATGAGGCCAGTGAAGACTGCATCTCTCAAGGTGGCACTCTCACTACGCCGGTGACAGGTGACGAAAATGATGCTCTCTATGACTATGCGAGGAAGATCCTGGGGCCTGAAACAGAAGTTTGGCTTGGCATTAACGACCTCGCGGTTGAAGGGAAATGGGTGGACATGACCAGCAGCAGCATCAGCTACAAGAACTGGGAAACGGAGATCACCACCCAGCCTGATGGAGGGAAGCAAGAAAACTGTGCAGCACTTTCCGGGGTTGCTGTTGGGAAGTGGTTTGACAAGAAGTGCCGAGACCCGCTGCCCTACACGTGCCAGTTCGCGATTGTTTAATGGTGAGGCTCCTGGTGCGGAAGAACAGAGTAAAGCATTCCGTGTGACACCTGGAAGAGAGCCGTGTGTGTATATCTGTATGCATCTAAATATACATACACATCTACAAGGAAAACACACACACATGTATACTCTTGGCACATAAAGTCATGGCTTGGTAATGGATTAGATCTATGCTGCACTTTAATTGACTGAAAGCTACATCCACCATTTTAGCAGCTACGTTATTCTTACTAAGGCGTGAGTTATAGATATATATTTTTACACACAAGATTTATTAGGCTTTATTGTCTGAGCATCCATTGCAAAAAATACTATGATACTTAGTTTGCTGTTGCATGTAATTTTCTTGAAATCTTCTTTGTTTCCTGCTGATTGCACCAAATTAAACCCACATTGCCAAATTGTCCTGTTTATCATCTATTCAGCTGGAAAGCTGGAAAGGTCTCAGCACAGCCTGCTTTCATTTAATGTCACACCCTTCTTATGGCCACATTGCCAAGTCGCATAAATCCACTTAGCAACTTCTAGCACCACTTAAATCAGAGTTAAGCAGAGCCACTTGAGCCTAAGCTGTTACCCTGAGCAATGTGGGTGACAACAGGAGAAGCCAAAGCAGAACCAACAAAAGCATCCACCCCTTTGTGTGAACTAAAGACACAATCTAAGAACTTTGCATCCATCGGTGCTACAGTAACTTCCATCTGGTTGAACACATCTGACTGGAAGCACAAAGCAAAAAGGAATGAGAAGGAAGGGTGACTCGGGGGAACATGCAACCATCAGCAAACCAAGATTATCATGTGGCGGTGGTGAAGTAATAGGGACTGCAAGATGCTGAAAAGTCACTATAGCTCCAACCTGTGTCATCTTCTCCTCAACTGGAACTGAAGGAAAGAAGTCCGTGCTTCTTCTGGAGAAGACAGTGCCAGTCTAGTGCCTCCCTACCTCAGCAGCATGAATGGATCAATCCTTCACCCAATGCAGAACTTTTTCACACTCTCTCTAAGGGCATGTGTGCATTTGCACACGTGGATCACTTGCATCCACAAAGGGGGGCATTTCCATTCGCTCACAGGGATAGGATTGGCTTCCTCTGTTTAAAGGAGTAAAGAAGAAATATACATCAAACCCCCAGAGTCTGGTACATATTGCCGAATTGTGAAAACCCTCTTCTAAAATCCAGTGGAGATGCCTTGCTTGCTAGTTTTACAGGGCAACATGCAGTTACAAGTATCTTTCAGATTTTATAGCAAGTCAACTAGAATAGAAGGATCGAGAAGTAAGACTATCACTGCCAAACTTTCTGTTGAGATTATCATGGAATAAAGACATATGACTTGATATAAGAACAGCGTCTCTCTGTTTTAATGGCATGTTTTCTTCTTAGGGTGCTAATACAACAGGACCGCCCCCATATCTAAGCCTCCCACCAGATGCCTAAATAATAGCAAACATTATATACTGTACTTACAAATTTCCTTTTTCACAATTACACAGATGGAAGATTCATTCTTACCATTCATCCTAGCAACCTCAGCATATATATTTTTCTTTCCTTATTAAATTTAAAAATTCCACTCAAAGGAAGCACTTTACAGCACTTTATGATTTCTCTTTAGCACTTTGAGACTTCACTTTTGGACTGAGCTCAACTGCAGTTAAGTGAAAACACAGTAATCGAACCAGCAGATATGGGAATCTTGCTGTATATCCATGAGAAATAATTCATCAGCCAGCCAGAAAATAGCAAAAGAGTGTCAAGAACTCAGCTGCACAATGTTTCCTTTACAGGGCTAGATTCCCCAAAAGCAGGGCCACTATGGGTTGGATGTAGAATCTGCCTTGCATGAGAGCTAGGAGCCTTCTGAAAGAGGAAGGATTCTGCTTCCAAAAGGTTCTTTCTCCCAATGGTGCAGGATGTCACCTTCCCCAAAATACACACACACTCCTCTTTCCTCATCCATTCTACAGGGGTTCTTGACTTCATATATCACATTTTTCAGGATGTCCTGCTGTGACAAGGAGCGGGTAGGAATGTCCACTTCTGCCGATGCAGTTGACCAGGCATAAACCTGGATCCAAGCCTGTGTTATCAGGATTGCTGTTCGCAAGGAGGCTTCTGGGTGCCTTTGGCCAAACGACCTTAATGAGGCTCTGAGGTGGAGCCAGTGCATGTAGGGGCGATGAGGCGGCATTCCGGGCCGGCTCAAGATGTCTTGCTGGCTGAGGGAAAGCACAAGGTGGCGCCCGCTCCCATTTCATGCATGCCCAAAGGCCAGCTGGATCTGTCTTCATTACTGCCAGTAAAGCACCCGCAAGCAGCAGTCTAGCTGAGCGGGCGACTGCCAGGTTGCATCACATGCATGGGACTGATCCCTTTCAGCCCCTCTTGGATCCAACATTGGAGCTAACTTTTTCTGAATCAGGGAAGAAAGAGGTTCTGTGTCATGGAGCTCACAGAGAGCATAAGAAAAGCCATACTGGATCAGAGCAGCAGTCCATCTAGTCCAGCACTCCGTAGACATGGTGACAGACCAGCTCCCCACAGGATCCCTCGAGCGGGATATGTGCAAGACCTCCTCCTGCCCAGCTCCTCAGCAACTGGTGTATGCAAGCAGTACACAGCCAGCAAACCGAGTAGCTGCTGATACTCTTCTCCCTTATGAATGTGTCCAATCCTCTTTTAAAACCATTCAAATTGGTGGCCAGCACCACTTCCCATGGCAGCAAATTCCATAGTTTATACTCGGTGAAGAAATAGTTCCTTTTATCTGTCCTAAACTTCCACCAGTCCACTTCATGGGATGACTCCAGGCTTAGGTGTTATGAAAGAGGGGTACAAATGTCTCCTCTACTTTTGCCACACCATAAATTATCTTAACTAGCACTATCATGTCTCCTCTTACTGTTTTTCTAGGCTGAACAGTCCTCATTGTCCTAGCTGCTCCTCATAGGGGAGTTGCTTCATCCCCCCAAACATGTTTGTTGCCTTTCTCTGCATATTTTCCAACTCAGCAAAGTCCTTTTTCAGGAAAGCTGACCAGAACTGGACACAATTTTCTAAGTGTGGTCACTCCAGGGAATTGCCTAAGGGAAGCAAGATTTTGGCAGTTTTATTTTTTATTCCCTTCTTCGTGATGCCTAGCATGGAATTGACGTTCTTCACAGCAGCTGAGCGCTGGGCTGACATTTTCATCAAGTTGTCCAGCACTACCCCAAAATCCCTCTCTCCTCAGTCACAGCTATTTCAGATCCCATCAGTGTATACTTGAAACTGGGATTTTTTGTCCCAACTTGTATCACTTCTATTACTCTTGCTTATGTTGAACTGAATTTGCTGTTTTGATGCCCATCCTCCCAGCTTGGGGTGATCCTTTCGGAGTGCCTTAGAATCCCTTCTGGTTTTAACCACCCTAAAAGTTTAGTGTCACCAGCAAACTTGGTCACCTCACGACTTACTCCTAATTCCAGATCATTATTAATGGGTTGGTCCCAGTACAGAGTCCTGTGGGACTCCACTGGGAGAAATTGTCATTTATCCCCACCCCACTGCCTTTTGTCCTTTAACCAGTTAGTGATCCATAAGACAACACCCCCACCCACACTTTTATTCCATGACTGCTTAGTTCTTCAGGAGCCTTTGGTGAGGGGTTTTGTCAAAAGCCTTCTAGAAGACATCATAATTTAACCTGCAAATGTGAACAAATTTCTTTCATTCGTGTTATTGAAAATGTTGGCAATATTTGGGATTTCACAAAACTCAGAATATTTTAGCAAAGCTAAGAACCAAAAGAAGAGCTTTGTATGTGCTGGACAAGATCTGTTATTGCAACATCGATTTATCCATGTTGGATTGCTGAATTAAACTATCATTTGATTTTTATGATTTATATATCAGTTATGTAACTTGGCACAAGCAAGTTATTAACATGTAGCATAGTAAAAACAGCAGCAGTGGTATGAAACTGAAGTAAATCAAGAGTAGTATAAGCGCGCGCGCACACACACACACACACACACACACACACACATAATGTGGACTCAAATGTAAGATTCTGGGTATTCATCTAAGCCATTTTCAGTCAGCAAACTATGGAAAACATTCTTTGAGACTTCAACAATACATCCACAAAAATATGGTCTTTGAAATACTATTTTTCTGTCAACTCCTTTGACTCCAAGAAATCAGGTCTGGCCTAGATTTCAGATCAGCTTACCAGAAGTGTTGCTATTTTCATAGTTCTGTCCTTTTTAATCAATGTGTTGGAGCTAAAGTACCCAAGCTTATTACACAGCAGCATGGAAAATGCAACAGTACCTGTGCTTCCATTCTAGACTACCTGGAGTCTGAAATGGAGAGCATCTCACTATCTGCCAACTATACTTCAATGATTTGCCAGAATAACCCGTTTAGCTGGCCACCTCCTCTTGCTGTGGTCTCTTATTGGTCCCAGCTTTGTCATTCAGATCTTCTAGCCATCATCTGATGGCTTCTACCTTCCCAAGCAACACAAGAGAAAGAAAGAAGCAAGACTGGAAGAAAAGAAGTGATGATAGAAATACAGCGGGTGGCCCTTTGTGAATGGATGACCAGAATCCTCTGGTATTTGCTTTCATGTGTAGAACTTTGGCTCTGTTTAAAATACTTGAGATGGCAGTTCTCCAAACCAAATGGATTCCATCTGCTCAGTGCTAAGCCATTCTAAACCATGTGAAAATTCGAATGTCCCAGATGGATGAAAGTCAGAACATCTGTGGTCCCAGCTTATAGGTCAGGATGATCTATTAGGTTAATTATGTAAAGCAACACCTTGGTTCCATAATTTGGAGGGGGGTGGGGGATTAAGCAGTGCTGTTGAACCTCTTGCAGCCCGAGGACAAAATTCAATTTTGGAGAAGGTTTTGTGGGCCATTTCCAAGGATGGGTGTTGCAAAAGGGATGAGGTCACACATAGCGTGTTTATGTGTTTTATATTTTTAGTGTCGGCCAAGGCGACTTATTTTATAATGTTTATGTGTTTTATATTTTTAGTGTTTTATATTTTAATTGTTGTTTTGTAAGCCGCCCCGAGGCTTCGGTGAATGGGGCGGCATAGAAATTTTTAAATAAATAAATATAAATAAATAGCAGCGTATTTTAACTTCAACTTTTTTTGTGCCAGCAGCTAAGCATGTTGACCTTTTAGATGGGAGGAAAAACTGCACAAAAGCTGGGAAAGTGCTAAGCAATCTGTGGTGGGTGGGAAGGAGTGAGGTCCAGGGATGAGCAAGGGACATGACCAACTGGGTAAAACCTGAAAGGCCAGACTGGGTCCTCAGGAGGGCCAAAGGAACATCCCTGGCATAAAGGGATGCCCACAGAATACTTCACAGGGGAAGAAAAGTCTTGAAAGCTCATTAGTATCATAGTACCAGTTTTTGGCCCTGCTCTGTAGCAGATTGTGAGCAGGGAACAGCCTACAATCTGGCTGGTAGGAAGACAACAGCAGTGCCCCCCGCATGCCTGGACTCTGAGATCTTGAGAGTGGGAGGGAATCTTGAAGAGAATACGGCAGCCAAGAACAGTGAGGAACATGAGCACAGCTGCCCTTGGGTTCACCCAAGCAGACAGTAGTTGCAGTAAAGAAATAATGAAAGCAAAGAGGCATGTTAGGGATTGCAATTTTGGGAAAGCGTATCAGAAGCTTGTGGTTTAAATGTAATATACACTGTCTGACCACTTTGAACTGGCTTCTCATCAAAGAAGAAAGGACCCCCTTATGAGAAAAACCACTGTGTGTCTTAATAAAAATTCAAACCTCCATGTTGGGGCCCCCTTTCCAAGAAAATAATTTATGTGGGGTTGCCTTTGGACATTTCAGCCACAGCAGGAGTGATACAAATAAGAGTGACTTAGTTCACATGTCATGATAAACTCACTGTAGGTAGCAAGCCACAGTACCACTTAGCTGGAACTTGGCTGCCTGTAACTTCTGTCCATTATTCCATGGCCTGCACTCTGGAATGACTGAGAAGATACCCTGGCCTTCTTCTTTGTGACAGCCTTTCAAGTACTGGAAGATTGCTATCATATCTTCCCTCTTCCCAAGATTAACCTTGTCCAGTTGTTTCAATCTTTCACAAGACTCTGTTTCCAGTCCCTGAATTATCCTTGCTGCCTTCCTCTGAACCCTTTCCAGCTTCTCTGAGTTTTCTCAAACTGTGGTGCCCAGAACTGGACTCAGAACTCCAGATGAGGCCTAACCAGTGCTGAGTAAAGGGGAACTGGAACTGGTGATTTGGAGTAAGACTTCTATTATCTAAAGGACCGCTTGCGTCCATATATGCCCTCCCACCCCTTGAGATC